AGCACCTAGATCAGTCCTTTCCAAATCTCTGGCCCTGCAGAATTAGGTCGAATCAGCAGAGAAAAAAGTGCAAGTGAATGGAGTTGTCAGTACATCTCCAGGTGGATAGCTATGGTTTGCAAGCTGCCTACGGCTTTTGTTTGTTCAACTTTCTCGCTGCTTACTTCAGACAATTAACAATTATCAAACCCCACCCTGAGTTCCCAGTTTACTGATTTTGTAAACAAAAAAATCCTACTTGAACAGAGAATAAGCTTCGCTGAATGGAAATGTTTCTACAGCAATGCAACAAAAAATATTTTTGGATAATTTTCCTGAAAGTAATTCAAATGAAGGAACAAATCTACTTTGGGTTCTGCTGTATTCTGCAATGGCAGTGCAGACAAAGAACTCCTGACAACACCGATTCTTCACTTTCTCTTTATAGCTTACACTAGATTCCCAAATAATGTGCGACTTGTGCACGTACACACCCATACCCAGTTTGACACCAGGTTTCAGCGACCTCCTAATGGACTTGTAACAGCATGTATTTGGTTTGGTTTTAATTAAGAACAGCTGCGTCATTTCATGAAGCACATTGTTTGCACAATTGGTCAAGACACAAGATTCCCTTTCCCCTCCTTCCAAGAACTTCAATGCACAGAAGAAAAGCAATGTAAACACCTTTGAGGTGAGCGACAGTGGGATCAGGGTGATGGTTCTGCACTGAGGCCCCATTCCAAGCTAACAATGTTCACATGGTCATATGTTCTGGTAAGACATAAGAGATATCGTCCCACGGGTGACGGTACAATCCTTGCTTCAAACGCTTCTGATCCAGATAGTGTCCTGGAAAGTTAAAGTACATCAGTAACCACAAAGTAATGCAAACAAAAAAAGTGTTTCAATTCAGAAGAAGGGATTTTTGAGAATCTTTTGGCATGAACTAGTTATGATAGTCTGCATTCATTCAGTTATAAAAGCTAGCACTAATGTAAACACCCATCCCAAGATACAAGGTCTCCAAAGAATTGTACAGAATTTAATCAATAGAAGAAAGCATTCTGTCCTACAAACGTTGACCAACATTTATGCTGCCTCATCTTATCCTATCAACAATTCCTCTATTCCTTTCTCCAGGGGTTGGTTAGATGACTAGAGTGTAGGTTTCAATCTGTAACAGTTATGATCATTCGTAGAAGACTGCCTCGTCACCTTATCCCCCACTTCTGCAGTGGTTACCTTCTAGTTCTACATAACCGATCTCTCTGCAATAGAAAGAGATGCCTACAATCCTTTGTGGCCTTCGGCTCCATACCATTCCTTTATCCTACGTGCATTTACCAGGTTTTCCCTTAAATACATCTATTGCATTCATTTCAATCACTTCATGCGGCAGTTTTCACAATCCAGCCAGTGAGAATACAATGGTTTGCATTTTATCAGGTGCATTCACTTCCCTGGGACAAAAACAGCAACAGAAAGGCAAATCACTGCTGTCAATGCCGCATGTTTCCTCCGGCCCACCCTACCTGCACTCAGCCATGACATGGTCCATTAGTGTGAAATGAGAAAGTCACATGCAATATTTGAGCACTTCTGTCATTTGCTCACAGTACAAAGCAGGCCACATGATATTTCACTGCCTTTTAATTGTTGCCAGAAGAGTAAGTTATGCAAATATGAGCAGCAAGTTGCAAAGGATGCAAATACACTCTACGAGATGGACAAATGTAGCTAACCATGGGAAAGTGAAATGTCAATACACTGGACCCAAAGACAAATCAGAATAGTTTCTCAACAGGAAACAGAGCAGTGCAAGAGCAAAAGGATCTAAGGGTTTACGGAAGAAAGCTGGTTCACAACTACAACATAATCCAAAATGTTGGTTCTTAAACTCATGATTTAATACAATGCTTTAATTGTAGAAATTCTTGGACTGGTCTGGAGTGTGTACATTTGGTCTTGGACCTTGTGGAGGGGTACAACATAGATTAACCACAATGATACCAGGGCTCACAGGGTTAAACTGAGGACAAGTGACAAGCTTGTATCCCTAAATGCATAGGAATTTCAGGTGTAATTAGACTAGGTCTGTGCGCATGAATTCAGGAAGCACTGCTCCAGAAAAAGAATGGGCAAAATCAGGAACTTTGCTAAATCTATGAATTTCATATCAATTAAAATTTGAGACCGAGACAGGGTAACTTTTGCAAAAACTCTGGACCCAAAGCAGGTAAACAGAACTAAGATCAGCTATTTACCAACTATTTGGCTCCACTTTCCTTATAGTTCTCTTCTAATCCATCCAGTGCAGTCTTAAAAATTTAAATTAACCCAGAACACATTGTCGCCTAAAATAATGTCCAGATTTCCACAATCCCACGCACGCAATTGCTTCCCTATTTCACCTGAGCAGCCTAAATCTACCATAATAGTGGTTAGGGAGCATAGCTGGAGTTACATTTGCTATCTAATGCCTTAATTATTAGCCTCCTTTAAAATGGTCAACTTACCAATAAAGCCCATACTTCGCCCTAGCACAAAGATTCCATTCAGAGCACCAATCTCCACATACTCATCAGCTTCCTCCCTGCACACGATAAAGACAAATTAGTACTTTTGAATCAAGCAGAAGGATAGGTCAACATTAACTACTCTTCACTCGGTGGCATATATCCAGCATTTGCAGTCTGTGTAGAACTACCAATAACAAAATTAGAAAACTACCTAGGCAAGTAATTGGATTTCCTTCCAGAATCATCCCTTCATTCCAGTGAAAATTACAAATCTATTTTTGTTTTGAAATTTAATGCAAATTCCAATCAGTATCGTTCACAATCATTGAAAAAATCCTTCACTGCCCCAGAATGCAGTGACTTGAATCTTGAGGGGGGAGATAGACATTTTTAATTAGTAATGGGTTGAAAGATTATGGATAGTGGGCAGGGAAGTGTAGGTATGATCAGCCATGATCATATTAAATGGCAGAGCAAGCTCAAGGGGCCAAATGGCCTACTGCTGCTCCTAGTTCTCATGTTCTAACGATGGTTTGAATAACAAGGTGGTTCAGCCTGCCCTTGTGGTTAGCACAGCACCAGGGACACAGGTTCTATTCCAGATCTGAGTCACTGTGTGTGGAGTTTGCACATTCTCCCCATGTCTGCATGGGTTTCCTCCAGGTGCTCCAGTTTCTTCCCACAGTCCACAGATGTGCAGGTTAGGTTTATTGGCTATGGGAAGTTGCCCATAGTCTCCAGAGCTGTGCAGGTTAGGTGGGTTAGCCATGAGAAATGCATGGTTACAGGACAGGGAAGGCCGGGGGTCAGTATGCTGTTTGGAGGGTCGGAGTGGACTTGATGGGCCAGATGTGGGGATTTAATGATTCAATTTAAAAAGGAGGTATGGCTGTGAAACTGGGAACAAGCGAGTTATCTATGCATGCTCAAGGACAGTGTATCCTCTGGCTGCACTAGTGCACTCACTGGACAAGGGATCATTTCACTGCTTCACAACTCCAAAAGCAATTATACTCAATTGATTAAAGTGTGCTCTGGAGGTTGTGAAATGTTATAGAAATACCTTTTTCTGTCATTGAGTTCAATAACAACCTCAGACAGCTCCACATCTAAAATTAGTGACTTTTGTACAGAGAGAATATAACTACCTTGTAAATGCACCACAGTTTCTTAGCAAGTCAACCATGGCAACACCAATAAAACCATCAACATTCAGGATAAGATTTGGTTTCTGAAACAGAGAAAAAAAACTTTCAATTCTCAAACAATATTTGTACATCAATAACAGAGAGTTGGGGCAAGGTTTAAGCTGCAGTAATTCTGAAACAGTTCATTCTTCTCCTGAAGATGAGTTTTTAAAAGCAAAACACTAACATGTCAAACGAAAGCTCATCCACCCATCCTGTGCTGCAGATTCTACTTAAGGAAAAGCTTGCAACAAAAAAAAACCACATTTTATTGTTACTGCTGTTTCCAAATAAGTTGGAAATAAGCTAATTCAGTGACTGCATGCCCAGATCCTGCATTTAACCAAATTGCCATCTGGTGATGAAGCAGCTTCCAGAGTGCACCAACGTACATAGCACAAAGCTACAGGAATGGTTTAGAATTTGACATTGATCAAAGTCTAAACTAAAACCTAGTCACAAAAAAATTCTGGAAGTATTCTGAAAGGAGTGATTGTTTCAGGTAAACCCAGTAAAGAGTCTGCTGCCTTCTCTGCCTCAACTCTGAAGGCCTTGATCTGAGTTTCCAAAGTTACTTCTAAAATTTCTAACAGCTGAATTAATATACGTCACCCATTCCCTGATAGAACTGAACTCTGTGGGAGACGTGTTACTTGCCAACAAGTTTTCAGGCTCTTGTATTAGTTCCATACCTTGGAGGTAGTAATCTTCTCCACTTCCAGTGCGTAGTCAAGGAGAGGTGTGGCCGGGAAATGCTGCTTCACAAAATCCTTTAGGATCTGGACCCTCATGTCTGGATTGTTAATCTGTGATCAGGAAAGTTTGATTCATCAAATATCACAATACAGTGATTTAAACATGCAGTACATACAAGGATTTTTCAGCTAACAGTATTCCCAAAGTAACTTCTTCATTCCCAGAATACATTTTTGTAACTGTTGTAAATTTTATTACCTTTAGATGCAGTTACCCCTACGTACACTGGGAGGCTGGATCAATCTTCAACCCTGAATAAATCTGAGTGCTTCCAAAACACTGAACATTAACACAATTGGCTGTGCCCTTAACTGCAGCCCCAGTACTCCAGAAGCTCAAGAAGACATACACTGATGTTCCAAACTCACCGGTTTTCCTGTTTTAATTAAAAAACTATTTTTTGATAAATCTTAAATCAATTCAATGATCACAAGGTAATAGATATATAAGTTAATTGCAAATAAATATCGTGTCACCTGAAATTCAATGTCAAAAACACTTAGATACTCATGGGGATAGTACAGTTCAGCACCTGCACGAGGGGCAGGTTATTAATAAAAGGAAGTTTATTAATTACCCTTTACTACTTCCAAACAACACAAAATGAACTGTTGACAAGGTGATTAAAAAAAGTAGCATCCAACACTGAAGCACAGCACAGGGGCCGGAGTAGCAGAGTTCAGATCAAAGTTAACACATTTCACTGTGCTCTTGTGACATCTGGTGGCTAGTTACAGAACAGCAGCACTAACAGCCAGGATTACATCTCCCAATGATTCATTTTCATGTAGGGAAGGTGCATTGCATTTCATTTTATAAAAGCACAGAGAACAACTGAATCATCTTTTAAGAATGAATTTCTCTGGTTTGTATTATCAGCACAGACCTTTAAATGGATCACCATAGCCAACAGCATTCAGATTACATTTCAGCCAGCCTAGGCGAGAAATCTTCACTCCACTCCAATACACCTTTTCACAATGTGGCAGCAGAGTTGTCATAGTGCTACTGTACAGAACTAAACTGCTTTGGTGACTATGCATGTATATATAAAGATATTTAATGAATAAAGTATATTTTTGAAATAAAAAAGTGTTAAACTAAAGAAATATCTTTAAAATACAAGGCTCAGACTTCCTCTTGAATTGAAGACCTGTCTATTGGAGTATTCCACTGGTGGCTGCATTTCCACAGGAGAGCCGAGAGAGTGAGTGGCATTGTGCCTTTCTGTCACAGACGACTTCACAGCTAAGCCAACCTTCAGCTAAAATGAAAGAGTGCAATGGCAGATACAGGTTGGATACCCTTTATCAGAAAGCCTTGACACCAACGGTGTTAATCTGGATAGTTTTGGTTTTCAGATGCCTACCTGAAGTAGTTTTCGCCCCATGTTACATAGAGAGAATATGAAAAGATGGACTACAGATTTCACCAGATCCAAATTTTGCATAGAAGTCTCTTATGGAGAGAAGCTTCTGAGAACTTATTTTTTATTTGAAACTCAGCCCATACAGGAAGATCAGTTAGTTGAAAACTCAACTAACTCTCCACAAAGCTGGAAGTAATGACTGCTCACTATACACAGCTGTATAGAAGTTAAGTTAGGCCACATTTGGAATATTGTGCAGAGTTCTGGTTGCCAGACTACCAGAAGGATGCAGCAGTTTTGGAGACGGTTCAGAAACAGTTCACCAGGATGTTGCCAGGTTTGGAGGGTATTAGCTACGAGAAGAGATTGAACAAACTTGGTTTATTTTCACTTGAATGTCAACGGATGAGGAGGCAACCTGATAGAAGTTTGCAAAATTATGAGAGACACCGATAGAATGGATAGATGCAGAGTGCAGAAAAGGCCTTTCGGCCTATCGAGTCCGCACCAACAATAACTCCCACTAATGCTGTGCTAATCCCAACTTCCTGCACTTGTCCCAGATCCTTGAACATGATATCTGAAGTGCTCAACCAAATACTTTCAAAAATTGTAAGGTTTCCAGCCTCTGCTACCATCCCAGGCAGTGCATTCCAGATTCCCACCACCTGCTGAGTGAAAAAGTTGTTCCCCCAAATCCCCTCTGAATCTCCTGCCCCTTACCCTAAAACTGTGCCCTCTCATGACTGATCCCTCAACCAAGGGGAGCCATTGCTCTCTAATCACCCTGCCCATACCCCTCAACCATGCATCCCGCAGTCTTCTTTGCTGTAAAGAACACAATCCAAGCCTATCTAATCTATCCTTAGAGCTCAATTTCTCCATTCCAGGCCACATCCTGGTGAACCTCCTCTGTACACTGTCTACTGCTATCACATCCTTCCTGTAGTGGGGTAACTCGAACCACAAGCGGTATACCAGCTGCAGTTTGACCAATGCTCTGTACAACTCCAACATTACCTCCTTGCTCTTATACTCTATGCCATGACTGATGAAAGCAAGTGTAACATATGCCTTAACTATTCTATTCACATGCTCTACTGACTTCAGGGATCTGAGAATAATTGCCCCAAGACCCCTCTGATTCATCTAAGCTACCCAGTGTCCTGCCACTCATTAAATACTCCCTCATCTCCCTCACGCTTATCAGGGTTAAATATCATCTGCCACTTACATGCCCATTTGACCAACCCATCTATATCTTTCTGTAACTTATAACCGTCTTCTTCGCTACTACCCACTCTATTAATCTTGGCGTCGTCTGCAAACTTGTTTCACATTCCCCCCACTACAGAAGAGGCAGCAGTGGGATATGAATCCACACCTCTAATCAAGGCTGGAACTGGAGACCAGTCGGTGCCATCTTCCCCAGGGTAGAAATGTCAATTACTAGGGGACATACATTTATGGTAAAAAGGGGAAGTTTAAATGCAATATTTAAGACAAACTTGCCTCTTACAGAAGATGGTAAGTGCCTGGAATGCACAGCAGATACAATAGCACGAGGTATCTTGACAGATACATGAAAAAGCAGGGAGTAGAGGGATATGGACCAGGTAGAGGCAAAAAGGTTTTTAGTTTAAAAAGGCATCATGTGTCAGTGCAGCCCTGATGGGCTGAATGGCCTGTTACTGTGCTGTACTGTTCTTTGCCCTTTTGTTCCCAATCCCTGACAGTGAACACCTCCTCACAATAACAATGAATGAACCCCCTTGCTTTGACAGTAATCACCACCCCCACCAGCACTCTCCTCCCTCGTTCATTCCACAAAATGCTCAATGCAGCCTCCTGCCATTTAATGATTCTTGCGACATCTGACAGCCAGATACTAATGATTCCAGAATGTGAGACAGGGAGAGTGGGTGTAGGGAGGAACTGGTACCTTACACATATAAATATAACACAGATTTTCCGAGCGGGATGAAGATGGAGGTTCTGCTCGAAGGGCAATTGCCAGCAGAAACAAGCCAGAGCCAGTTGACATGGTTCAGGTGAGTTTGGGTCACAGATTTCCCATGACATAAGGGTGCATTCAGAGAAAGCACGGGTTTTCAGGTCATTCCAGTTTATGGATGTGCGGTTAGAGGGTACTGGAGTTGTACACTCACCGGGTCTTCGAAGAAATGCAATTTTTTCTTCTTTTTAAAACATAGCACCAAAATATGTGGTGGTGTCATTCTGCCTCTGATACTGGAAACAACACTAGCACAATGGCATGCAAAACTGTGTTAGAACGCACCGACTTCACCCGATGTCCAATTCCCATAATCAGCTTCCCTTCTTTTTTCATCTTATTGACAAAGTCCATCGCAATGAGGCTGCTGTCAAAGGCTTTGCTGAATTGCTTAGCAGCTGCATCTAAGGCCCCTCCAAACCGATCACCCTACAGAAATATGCACACATACAGCAGAGAAGATATATTAGTAATTTGGGAATACTGATTTCTGCATCCATAGTGCAACTATCAACTCAGTGGAAAAATATTAACAGTAAAAATGCAAACACTCCAATAGATATGAATTTGAACCTTCCAAAGGGCAACAAGCAAGCATATGCTGCTCAGTGGGCCCATGTGCTCAGTGCCAATAAAGCCATAGGCGATAACTAGAATGCTCTTCGTATCATAAACAGCATGTGCACAGCTACCTGCCAAAGTTAAACTGTCAAATCTCATGGACTTCAGCTGGTGTTCAACATATCACGGTGTTGGGCAGCATATATGTACATTGTGTTACACAATGGGCCAACATACACACACAGACACGAACACACTTGGTTCATCTGAATATCTTCCGTAACTTCACAACATCAGATACAGTTGGCTACTTGAATCAGCTGAGTTGAATAATATTCCCGTTATCTTGATTACACCTTTTTATTAGCATCTTTGCTTGGAAGAAAGCAAAACATTATAATTTGTTTCCATGTCTAAACTGTGTTAGCAGAACCTGTTAACCTTCGGTTGTTCACGAATGATTTGTCAATGATTCCAAAACAGTCCAAGATAATTGAAAAATTGGATTCACATCACCGCAACCTGAAAGCTTGAAGCAACACTAGCTGCCCTCTAACGTGCAGTTGCTGACCTGGGATTATTCGGAGCATATTCAAGATATGGGAAGCCTAAATTGTTTATTAATATCTAGTGCAGCATTCACACTTTCCTGCAGTCCCAGTCCACTCATTACAGCAGCTGAAACAGTATGCACTGATTGTAAAGGACAGGGAGTTTAGACAGGACAAGTGAGTCTAAGAGGGTACATTATTATAGGAATATTGCTGATTGTTTGGGTAATTTAATATAATTACTATTTCATATTTCACAACATGAAAAACAAAGATTAGTCAGCCTAGAAGACAGCTTTCTCTAGGCTCGTTATCAGTTTACAAGATGACAGGCTGATCATTATCCTGTTCAGCAATGTGGCACATTCTTACAAACTGAGAATGATACATCTCTGGAGTGGAATCAAACAGCAAGTCAATGAAGGAGCTGACAAAACAGGTGTCGTCAGCTCGGGTGTGCAATGATTCAGATGCATGCACACTGGCATCAATCTCACAAAGCAGAGACCTGCTTCAATTTAAAAACAAACAATGAATGAGTAGATTTAAAATTAAAAAAGCAAATAAGATGCAGTTTAAGTGTACAACCCACATTCTACTGATTTGCACCAAGATAAATATAACACTGCTGATGCTCACAATGGTAAGGAGGCCAGAGGTGAGGCTGGAGATAAGATCCTTCCCTGCTCGCGCACAGACAATGGTGTTGTGAGCTCCAGAGACAGCAGGACCATGATCTGCTGTTACCATCAGGCACATCTCAATAAAATGGCAGGCATGTTTTGGCAATCTTGGAGAAAGAAAGAAAGAAACAGAATCTCACATATGAATAAACAGACAAACATTTACCAAACCCACTTTCAACTAACACCAACTTTAAACTGCAATGGTTTATTAGTTTCAGAACTTTTACCACAGTGACAGTTTGTAGATTAACACTGGTCATTTTACTTTGAAGAAAAATTCCCATTTTTCTCCACTTTCTGCCCTGCAATCTATGCCACCATTTCCTTAGTACACACTGTTCTGCAGAGGGATATTACAATGCACAGAAATCATTTGGCACTGCAGTCTAAGGGGCATTTACAACAGCACAATGGGCTGGATTTCTGGATTACGTTCATCCTGAATCATTCATACTCATTGCAATACTGGTTTCACAAAACTATCCAAATGTTTACAAGGATTATAAGGATCCAATGAGATTTTTCAGGTGGCCCAGTATTTACAAATTTATTGGAGCAAACAGTTACATTTCTCACTGTCATTTGAAGATTATTCCAACACTTCTATTTTTCTTATTCTAGCCAATCTACTTAGAACACCTTGAGTTAAAATGGTCTAGTCAGTGTCAAAGTATATTACTGCCCCCCAAAATTTAACTGATTTGAGCTACTGAGTAGGACCAGGCACTTATCTTACCTCCTCTGGAACCACAGCAAGCCCAAGACACCTCCAAGGCCCATTTCCTCCTTGAAGATTTCAGTGATGGGCATCCCTGCATAGATGAGCTCCTGACCCCGTTCATCACAGATGCTGGTCATGAAGGAAGCTGGTTTACGGATTAGACCCAGCTCCTGCAATATAGGTTCAAAGCACATACAGAAAATCAGAACGCCATTATTTAGAACAGGATGCTTAAACAAAACACCTCTTATCCCGCAGCCAGAGATCATGTCTTCAAATGAACAAATATTGAAGTTATTGGGATCAAAAAATTCCCAGCCAATCTAAGTTTACATTGGGAAGGTGGGTTCCCATATATGTGCAAACAACGAAAGTGCCAAGGTTTTAAAGCCACATTTCATATCATGATTTGTAAAGAAACATTTTCAAATTGATCAATGTGGAGCCTAAAGGGATTGACAAGACCAATGTATCTGTCCATCTGGGCCAGATATGTCACAAGATATTTATCAGCAACAGAAATCACCAATTAGCAAATGAAATACACGAGAGAGAAACTATAACAGACAGACAGTCTCGGAATTCTTTCTGTAGTTTCCACTAATTTTCTCCTCAATATTGGCCATGGTGGTATGGGGGTGGGCTTGCAATATCTACAAAGCTGCGAAACAAATATTGGCATAAGGCATTCACCAGATGTAACTGCTTTGCAAATATTTGTTACCACATGGAGAGAGAAGCAGGAAAGGTTTCCCAACCAGAGATGCTGACTGCATCGACAACTTACTCTTGCCCAGGAATAGTCCATTGGCACAGTCGGAGGAGGAACTTCTTGAGCAGGTGCAATCACACCCTTAGCAACGAGGTCGTCATAAACATTTCTATCAAATTAAAAAGATTTCTCAATCTGCAGTATTCTTGACAACATTATGACAGTATATAATTGGTTTAAACAGGTCAGCTCAGTATTAACTAATGATTATTCAATTAACCACGTAATGACTGTTCAATTGCTAGACCTACAGGTGCTTATAAAGAGTTCTGCCCACTCAATCTCTTTGCAGAACACCAACCTCCCTCTCCCTATTACAGCACCAGCTGAGCCTGCCTCTCTACCGCACATTCCCACACCAGTAAATTATGTTTATCTGAATCACCCTGTGTAAAATAAATACTTCCAAAGTAGTCCTAAACATGCCGTTCACCTCCATCCCTTTTCTGATTCCCTAGTGTGTCTGTAGTATGCTCTTACTTGATGACCTCTCCAAGTTCATCAAAGTTCCTTGGCACAATAGCCCCACTCTCTCTCAGGGCCTGGTTTTTGGCTATTGCTGTTTCAGAATTCTCATTAGCGCAGGCACCAGCATGGCCAAACTGCACCTAGATGCGGGGAGAAAACAAAATATCTGTTACCTGATCAAGAAATAAGGGGCATTCATTTCCACCACATGCAATGTTAAACCCTTCCAAATAATGGTCTCTGACCAGAGACAACATTTTATGGTCGTGCTCCATATATTTAGGTATTGACATGTTGTACAAACTTATTTACTAGCTACATGTTTGCAGCTTGTTACAGAAAGCTTTTTTTTCCCCCCTGTGAATTTTCATGCTAACCAAAGCAAGAAAAATATTACTGTTGAGAAATTAGTGTACCTTACCAACTTAGGATCCAGTGTCTGCCAACAGTATTCACAGGTCAAAGCTTGAAGGAGTAAAGCTGCTTTTACTACACCTCCCAGGAGGTCAGGTACATAATGAACAGGAACTAAACTTCACTCTACCATGCACTAAACACAAAGAGCAACCCAAAATGCATCCACTATCTACAGCCAGAGAATGGAATTCTCAACATGGTGTTAATGTTGGGCTCTGGGCCAATATCTAGAAGGATCTAAGCTGAAAAGGTGCCATGACGTCATACGTTATAAAACAACTTCTATTTCATCGCTCTAGTTGCCTTTGAACACAGATTCTCAACTCTTTCTTTTTGAAAATTTGCTTTACAGTGGTGCAATGAGTAATAAGCACTTACCTCAGAGGCAAACATGGTTGCACAAGTGCCAATGCACCAGATGACCACAGGCTTTGTAATTCGTCCTTCCTTAATCCCCATGCAGATCTTGTACTCCTCAGTTCCACCAATCTACAGACAGTTTCAGGTTAGATTGTTCTTGTTTGCCTTAGTTAATCCTCCAACTTGGAAGTGCAATGTTAAAACTCTTGTATGTTGTTTAAAACTTTCAATTCTTGGATGCTGAATTCTCAATGACACTGGCACCTTGCCTCAGTGCACGGGTGGGGAGTTGGATGCCCAAAACCAACTATATGTACAAAAAGTGCAACTTCCAAGTCAGAAGATGCCAACCAAGGCCTTAGCGCATAAATACAGCACTTAGAAGTGGTACATTATCAGGAGTAGGGATCAACAGGAGATATTAATCTAAGGCTAATCTGCCTTCTTTGGTCAACACATTACTATCCATTCCTCTACAAGTGTCAAAAAAGAAACGAACTGGTCTAAATCCTGTTTGTAGTTCTGCTGTACAATACACAATTGCCAGGTTTGCCTAAAATTGTAGCAGCTGCACTTCAGAAGTAATTCAACAGTGAAGCTCCACAGGATGCCCTGAAGAGGTGAAGTGTTTCATTAATGAACAAACCTTTCATCTTCCTTTTTGTCAGAATTCTCAAAGCTATTAATTCAAAGATACATTACTCTAATACAAATTGTTATTTCAAAATTTGTGGCCTTTGGTTTCGTCCATGTTGAAAACCCTCTCCAACCTTTGCCAATCTCGCCTTCGATTGACAACAAAATTATAAGCGAAGAACACATTCTTAAAAAGTACAAATTTTGTGTGTAAAGTTAAAGAACAACTGTAGAGGTTTATGGCAGGTAGAGCAAAAAAATTGCTTCAGAGTAAAATATTCCTAAAATAAAGCATCACATAATAGTAATCAGATCATAGCTAGCAGCAAGATTTCAGTTCCCTCCTAAAGTTTAGATAGCTAGTGAAGAACTGGACCACAATTCGAGGACTTAAGCCGATGTCTGCTAGAGCTACCCACCTCTCCAAGGACAACAATCATCTTAACTCCTGGTGTGTCCTGATAACGCAAGACATGGTCCATGAATGTAGATCCTGGATACCTGGTATAAGGGAGTGAAGGCAACACTTATTTTTCCAATATTTACTCATCTCAGTAGAGATTTTTCATTGATAAATGTCTTTGAAAGATGAGTAATCAAGTGTTATTAAAAAAAAATGATACAGTTCCTGGTGAAATATAGTTCAAGGAACAGCTTTTGCTACAATAAAGATGGTGATACCCAGAATATTGAACAGGATATCAGATTCAAACAGTTGGGGAGTTCTTGATTCTGCACAAAGGTGATGGATTTTTTTTTTTTTTTAAATCAGTGAGTAATTTATTGTCATTTGATGGTAGTTTGGGGAACTTTTGCATTAAATTGACATGCACAATTTCTGGGGATGAAGAAGAAACTCAATAGCGCACGGGGGAAGGGGGTGTCCAGAGGTATGTGGAGGGTGTTGGGAGAAATGAAGCTTTGTCAACTAAAGTGCTGAAAGAACAATTACTCAAAGTCATTCTCCGCTGTTGTAGGATACCCTCCAGTAGCCAAGATCTAAAAGAAACCACTCATTCATTTTCCTAGTTAAATTATTTTGTTTGCTGAAATTACTCCCTTTTTAATTAATTTAATACCTATTTTGAACCAGTCGTACAACTGCCAGACAGGCAGCTATTAAGGTGCAAATCTATTGCAAACTCTGACTGTTTCCTCAGCTGGAAATTATGTACCAAATATATGAATGAGGCAGCAGACATTTGGCCCAAGGCTGTCCTGCCATTCAATAAGATGACAACTGATCTGATTGTGGTCTCAACTTCACTTTCCTATCTATTTCCGATAACCTCTGACTCCCTTATTAGTCAAGAATCTGCCTACCTCTGCCTTAAAAATATTCAAAGGCCCTGCCTCTACCATCCTCTGGGGAAGAGCTATAAAGAATCACAACCCACAGAAAATAACAACTCATCTTCTTAAATGGAAGACCCCTCATTTTTGGTTGGTATCCTCTACTTCTTGTTTCTACTGCAAAGGTAAAAACTTTCACAGTATCCATTCTGTCAAGTCCCCTCAGGATCCAATGTCTCAATCCCTTATTCTTCTAAACACTAATGGATACATTAGTAGCCTATTCAACTTTTCCTCAAAGCTACCTGGGCTAGGCATGGATTCGAGTCATGTCAACTTTTTCTGAACTGTTTCCAACACATTTATATCCCTTCTTAAACAAGGAGACCAAAACTGTACATAGTATTTCAGATGTGGTCTTACCAACATCTTGTAAAACTGTAGTAAACATCCTCACTTTCATTTTCCATTTCCCTGGCAATATATTATATTTAATTTGCCTTTCTAAATTACATGCTGTACCTGCATAATAACTGTGCTATTCATGCACCAGGACACTGAAACCCCTCTGCGCCCAAGTTTAGTAATCTCTCCCCATTTAAGTAAACTACTGCTTTTGTATTCTTCCTGCTAAGGTGGACAAATTCACTTTTCCTGCATTATATTCCATCTGCCCACTCACTTAACCTATATCCTTCTGTAGACTTGTGTCCTATTCACAATTTACTAAGTTACCTGTCTTTGTATTTTCAGCAAAGTTAGCAAGCATACATTCAGTTCCTTCACATAATTGATAATGCAAGGCCTTTATTGAGGGAACACAGTTCTTACCGATCTCCACCAATAGCAACCCCTTCATAGACTCCATCGGTGGTTCTGGAGATGATATTGTTGAGCTCATTAGACATTCCACCAGAGCGAGACACATACGCTACACTGCCAGGACGGTACAGCTTGGAGGCCAGGATGTTATCCAGCATACCACCTGTGTTCCCTATTTTGTAGCAGCCTGGTTTTATGCCACCCACCTGAAAAAAAATGAGCATGATATAAACAATGAAACGAAATTTTCTGAAGAAGGGTCCTGACCTGAAACGTCAACTTTCCTGTTCCTCTGATGCCACCAGACCTGCTGTGTTCCTCTAGCTCCACACTGTGTTGTCTGTGATAAAGGGGTGAACACATTACTTAAATCTGAATGATCTTGAAGGACTTTAAATTAGCACGGTCACATCATTCAGCTCAGAAGCAGTTTCCTGCAGAGGGATCATCAAAGTCCATGGAACATCAAAGTGGATGATAAAATCACAGCTGGATTAGGGTCAGAGTCATAGAGCTCTACAGCATGGAAACAGACCCTTCAGTCCAACGTATCCATGCTGATCAGATATCCAAAATTAATGCCATTTGCCAGCATTTGGCCCACATCCTTCCAAACCCTTCCTATTTATGTACCCATCCAGATGCCTTTTAAAATGTTATAATTGTATCCTCCACTACTTCTGGAAGCTCATTCCATACATGCACCACCCTCTGAGATACGGTTGCCCCTTAGGTCCCTTTAAAATCTTTTCCCTCTCACCTTAAACCTATGCTCTCTAGTTTTGGACTCTCCCACCCTAGGGAAAAGGCTTTGGCTATTCACCCTATCCATGCCGCTCATGATTTTATGAACTTCTGTAAGGTCAACCCTCAGCCTCCAACACTCCGGGACAAACAGCCCCTCCCTATTCAGCCTCTCCCTACAGCGCAAACCCTCCAACCCTCGCAACATCCTTGTAACTTTTTCCTGAGCCCTTTCAAGTTTCACAACATCCTTCCTGTAGCAGGGAGACCAGAATCGAAGCAAATTTCAACAGTGGCCTAACCAATGTCCTGCACAGCTGCAACATGACCCCCAACTCTTATACTCAATGCACTGACCAATTAAGGCAAGCATACCAAACGCCGCCTTCATTATCCTGTCTACCGGTGACTCCACTTTCAAGGAACTATGAACCTGCACTCCAAGGTCTCTTTGTTTTCAACACCCCAAGTCCTGCCCTGATTTGCCTTTCCTAAATGCAGCACCTTCCATCAATTCCATCTGCCATTCCTCAGCCCATTGGCCCACTGGAAGCTGAATTCAAAAGTCTAGATATGACTTCTTGGCATAGCCTGCCTACTGATGCAGACACGTTTTTTGCAGTTCAAGAACAGTGGACATGATACAATAACTTTCTCTCTCTACAAACGCTTCCAAACTGTGGGTAAATAGTATTTTCTTACCGTAGCTGGCCCAATGATAGTGACACCTTTCTCATCTGCCATCTTGACTAATCTTCGGGTCAATGCTTCAGGGATTCCTTCAGCAATTATTGCTATTGCCCGGATCTAAAGCACAGAACAGCACAGGTAGACTGAGATTAATCTATCTTGGTGACCAGTAAGAACATGAAGAAAGAAAAGGATTCACGAAAGTAATTAGCTTTCCAAGTTAATCAATGCCTTGGCATCACTCAATCACACGAACTGGAATTATGTGTCTCAGTTCATGGTCTGTACTGGATTCTCTCAAATAAAGGTGGCAATAGAGGCTTTACATGACAGAAAACGAGAAAAAAAATAATGTTCTGCAGTCACTCTCCAATGAGCGTAATTTGCAAAGTTTTTCCTGAATATGCAGATGCTACTTGTTGCCTAGGCCCACAGGTGGATATGGAACCACAGCTACAGTCTGTGATTCTGGGAGGGGAGGAAGAGAGACATGGTAAAGGGTCATTCAGCTCTAAGTCTGCTCCACTATTTAAACAGCTCATGGTTAAATCGACAAATGGATCAACTAAAATAAAAGAATGAATCAAAACTGACTCTTTGCAAAGCTTACAGCCTATTATCACTGATTAGAATGTTCAGTGAATTAATAAAATTATCCTTAATACATTTATCAGATTGTGTCTCCTGTAAAATACCTAATGGACTTATAATAAATATGAAGCTATGATCCATAACAAAAAAGCCTTTGTGAATGCACAGATGCAGCAAATCACGGCAGCTGGCTGTGACATGACACTGTTGCAGGAAACATCTGTGCTGATGACACCACTGACAAGGGGGCAGGGAGATGAGGCAGAGGCTGGTGCTCTGACAAGAACAAGGACAAATGCCTGTGCCTGCAGTAGGGTAGGGTGAAGCCAGCACCAAGAAACAGTCTCTTTCATCTGGGGGTGGCAGAAATGGTGGGGGAAAAGACTGGGAGGCTGCAGGGGAGTGGGAGAGGGGGAGGCTGTAAAGAGATAACTTCATAAAATAAACTCTTTGTCATACAATGTTTTTTTTCCTTTTGCATTCTGCAGCACCATCTTTAGAATAAAGTCAACTTTCTTTCTATTCTTTGCACCACCTAAAGATGGTGATCATAGGATACTATGCCATATAAATAAGCTAGCTCTTTCAATGATTCAGCACATGTATGATGGACAGCTTTACCTTTGCAAGATTCTAAGAATATATCTTAAAGCTCATTTAAACCTCTATTAAAGGGCAGGCAAATGGCAAATGCAGAACATTAAAACATTAATCAACCCAATTTGCAAGTGGTTGTGACATTTGAATGTAATTGAAGCAGCAACAAACCTGAGAGAAGCTCATTGTTTCCACAGTGCTATCATAGGCAGAACGTAAGGAGGCAAAGTTGATAAGCACATCCACCTCAGGGTGTTTCTTCAGGGCATCAGCCATGTTCTTGTAGACAGGAATGAGGATTTCCTTGTGACCCCAGTAGAACTTCTGCTTGTGATCACCACTACAGGGGGGAAAAGGATTGAAAACCAATCAATTCAAAACTGCAAATGTAATTTGTTTTAACATGTTATGCAAGGTATTACAGTTTATGGAGAGATCCTTCTGTTCAACTGGCTACAGTGAGCAACAAGTCCAGTCAGGCCCAGAAATATTTCCACATCCAGGTCAACCCATACCTGAACCTGGCAGAAATGGGCCAGCAGAGGTCTGTTGACAGGGAAAGTGTCCCGGCAGTCAGCTAAATGGTGGAATGCTTTGAATTTGGAGAGGTAGCAAGGACACATGACTGCATTCAAAATGAGAACCAAGACATATGACTCTAAGTTATAAAGAGACTTACCCTGCTCATTGGACGCAATTTACCTCACTATCTCTTCAATTCCAAATGGCTGGATTGCAGAATTTTTGGTACTTTAGAATAATGAGGTTGTTGACTTGCTTGCTGAGCTGGCTGGTTTTTGCTCAGACGATTTGTCACCATGCTGGGTGACATCAGTGGAGCTTCCAGTGAAGTGATATTATTCTACTCTGCTTGGTATTTATACTGTTCAGTCCGTTATGGCGAGTACTGTCATTTCTGGTTTTGATCTGTACAGATTTGTATATAGGGTTCAATTCTACAGGTTGATTGATTGAAGTATGGGTGGAGAACCATACCTTTAGGAATTCCTGTGCATGTTGGTTTGGCTTGGGCTACTATGGTTACCTTGTGCCAGTTAAACTGATGGCCTTCATTATCTGAATGTACCGATATTAAGGAGAGTTCATTGTGCCATTTTGCTGCTAGCTGATGTTCGTTCTGCATTCTGATGGCAAGTTTCCTTCCTGTCTGTGGCAGTTGTTGCATGGTATTTTGTAAACCATGTTCGTTCTGCATGTTGTGGGAATGGGGTCTTTAATCCTTGTGAGTGTTTGTCATAGAGTGGCTGTGGGCTTGTGGGCCACCATGATTCCCAGTGGTCTTAGGAGTCTTGTTGTCAGTTCCGATATGTTCTTTATGTAGGGCGGTGTGGCTAGTGTGTTAGGGCTTATTGTGTCCTCCTGTTGTTGTCTGTTTTGTAGGCATCTGTGGATGAAGTTGTGGGGATATCCATCTAAAGCGAGGATCTTGTATAAGTGTTCTTCCTCTTTCTTGCATAGTGCTGGAGTGTTGCAGTGTGTCCTGGCCTGTTTAAATAGTGTCCTAATGCAGCTTTGTGGACATTGGGGTGGTTGCTGTGGAAGTTGAGGATTTGGTCCATATGGGTTGCTTTTCTGTATACTGAGGTTTGGAACTCCCTGTTTGACAATCGCTCTACTTTAACATCCAAAAGTTGCTTGTTGTTTTCTTCTTCCCTTGTGAATTTAATCTCTGAAAAATCTCTGGTCTACTAGAGGAAACAGCAACACAGACCAACAGCTCTATCAGCAAGGACAACGTACTTAAATTACTAGACTTGCGCCTCACCACACACTTCAGTTGTAATGGTCAGATATACAAACAGATCAACGGTACATCAATGAGGTCACCCATCTCAGGGCTGATTGCAGAAGCAGTCATGCAAAGACTAGAACACACCACCCTTCCCCCATTCAACCTCAACTGTGGATCCGATACGTAGACAACACGTTTGTCATTATTAAATGCAACAAATTAGAAGAGACCCACCACCTCATCAACAGCGTATTCACAGGGATTAAATTCACAAGGTAAGAAGAAAACAACAATCAACTTCCGTTTCTGGATGTTAAAGTAGAGCGATTGACAAACGGAGTTCCAACCCTCAGTATACAGAAAAGCAACCCATAAGGATCAAATCCTCAACTTCCAAAGCAACCACCCCAATGTCCACAACGCTGCATTAGGACACTATTTAAACAGGCTAGGAAACTCTGCAACACTCCAGAACTACGCAAGAAAGAGGAAAATCGCTTATACAAGATCCTCGCTTTAAATGGATATCCCTGCAACTTCATCCACAGATGCCTACAAAACAGACAACAGGAGGACACAATACGCCCTAACACACTGGCCACACCGCCCTACATCAAGAATATATCGGAACTGACAACAAGACTCCTAAGACCACTGGGAATCATGGTGGCCCACAAGCCCACAGCCACTCTATGACAAACACTTACAAGGATTAAAGACTCCATTCCCACAACATGCAGAATAAACATGGTTTACAAAATACCATGCAACAACTGCCACAAACATTACATTGCACAGACAGGAAGGAAACTAGCCATCAGAATGCACGATCAACTAGCAGCAAAACGGCACAACGAACTCTCCTTAATAATCGGTACGTTCAGACAATGAAGGCCATCAGTTTAACTGGCACAAGGTAACCATAGTAACCCAAGCCAAACATAGACAGGCACAGGAATTCCTTGAGGCATGGCTCTCCACCCATACTTCAAATCAACAAACATATAGAATTGGACCCCATATATAAACTCATACAGATCAAAACCAGAAATGACAATACTCACCATAATGAACCGGACAGTATAAATTCCAAGCAGAGTAAAATAACATCGCTTCATCTGAGGCTCCACTAATGTCACCTAGCATGGTGATGAAACGTCTGAACAAAAACAAGCCAGCTCGGCGAGCAAGTCAACAACCTCATCCACAACCCAAGCTACAGGTCTTTGCCAAAACTTTAATCTTCAGAATAATGTTAGACTGTTAACTCCTACCACCCAACATACAGGAAACTGAAATTAGTTCAAGGAAATTGGAATATTGAACAGCTAAGTCTTACAGTAACTGTATAAGGTGCTGGTGAGACCACATCTGGAGTACTGAGGGGAGTTCTGATCCCTTCCTTAAGGAAAAGTAATTCATTTGAGGCAGTTCAGAGAAGGTTCACTGCTTGGAGTTTAGAAAGATGAGAAGTGACCTCATTGAAACACATGGGATTAAGGGGCTTGGCAGGACTTGAGATGCTGAGAGGATGTTTCCCCTCACAGGGAAGGCTAGGACCACAGGGTATTATCTCAGAAAACAGGGTCCCAAATTTAATGAGATCAGGAGGAATTTCTTCTCTCAAATGGTTCAGTTTCTTTGGAACTCCTTGCTACAGAGAGCTGTTCGTGCAGCATCCTTACATAAATTTAAGCCTGACGTAGATTCTTAATCAGCAAGGGAATCAATGGTTACAGGGAAAGAGCAAATAAGTGGAGTGTAGAATGTCGAATCAGCACGATCCTATTGAATGAGGGTCTAAACAGTCCATTCCTGCTCCCGTTTCTTATGGCAATCAAGTAGTCAGCTCGCACTTCGGTCACTAATTCGAGTAGTTTCTCCAACCATTAAAGTCATTGTTCAAACTAAAACACCCACCATCTGCTGCGTTGCCTTCTTGTTCACACCCACACACAGATAGACTTCTTCCAGCAAGGCCCACTCTCTCCCTTCACTTGTAATTACCCCAGCACCCTTCCCTCCACACTTGCCCTTTCAACTTCCTGCATGCATTCTGGAAGTGTGCCAGCAATAAAGGGGTCCAGGTGTGGAGGAAGGGAAGCCAGGATGTGATAACAATGGGAGGAGTGGTGATGGGCCATCATTAAACCACTTAACCTGTTTTGTTTTCAATCATGTTCCCATTGCCAGTTCTTAAACAACATTAAGCTGGAACACTGTCTGTATTGGAAAACTTCCAATGATTAGTGCTAATGCAGGCGACTGCCTGGAATGCCACTGTCTGCGATATCACAAGCTGACACAGCATCTGTGCATATCCAAGAAACGCTCCTCCTACAGCTCTGTCACAATAAGTGTGGCTTTAAAGTAATACCTGGAAAAACTCAAGATTTACCATCAGCCATTAGGGATACGCTGTTAACTCTGTTGCAGCACCACAAGCGGCAATCGTGAGTTGCAGAAACATTCAAAACATTCCGGGAAACTTGTTTTCTTTGAAATTTCAGAGTTTTGGATTTGAAAGGTTACAATATACTTACAATACCACATCACAACTCAACAGAGTTCACCAAACCAATAACAAAAGAGGGGGAAGTAGAAAAGTACACTCACGTGAATGGGTAGACCATGGCTGCAACAGATGGTTCATCCCGTGAACAGACATAATCAAAGTCCAGCATTCCTTGTACAGCTCGTGTCTGCATTCCCCAAATAATGGACTTGGTGTGGCGGCTAAAAAGGGTGGTGGCTTTACCTGAAAGCCAACAGTACAATTTCAGTGACATACACTATCTTGAATGAGGTTTTCAACAAGGACACAGCAAACAAAGATCTACAACAGGCAAAGCAGAAGGACTGAAAAACAGGAGAGGGGGCTGGAGAAGGGGTATCAAAACTCTACCTTAACAGGAAAGCTGATGAGCTATACATCAACTCTAAAGATGGCTTCTTGGCCTGAAAATGTCCCATCATATTGATCAGCCGTTATCAAATATCTCACCTCCCCTCAAAACATATTCCATCATCTTTGCTTAGCTTAATAAAACAGAAATTTTACTTACAATTTTGTCATATATTTGGTGTAATCTCATTACCACCTTGGACAAAGGCAACAGATAAACAGGAACGTCTGCAAGTTCCCCACCCTAACAGCATGGGTGTTGCCTACACCAGATTGCAGCAGCTCATTGCCACCTTCTGTAGGGCAATTAGGGGTGGACAATAAAGCTGGCCCAGCCAGCAATGCCCAGATCCTATAGCGAATAAAAGAAAAGATTGACAGACATGAGCTGCATTCTTTGAGAATCAAACAGGATGAGCGGCAAGGTATCACTGGCATTACTGAATGGTTAGCTTCTGATAGGTTTGTTTTATAATATCTTATCAAAGCTGCTTCAGATTAGGTAGAGTTTATGGTTGGTTTGGATCAAGAATCAGGGGATATGGGAGTGAAGGAGAGAGATAAGGGATTAACATTTTTCAAGGTACCACCTGGCATCCTAACATCAATAGACTGGGCTGTCCAAGCTTTTTGCCTTTGTGGGTCATTTTGGTTTGTACCATGAAGCCTCAGGATTCCCTCTATTTTTAAATCCACATTCTGTTAATTTATTCAAGAGGATGTGGGTGCCATTGGCTATGCTATCATTTATTGCCTGTCCTTAAACAATCATTCCTGTTCTGATTTAGGATTCAAAGAGGCAACAGTGCGATCAACAGCCCGTTTTCCAAATCAGCAGTCCCAGGGAATTCAAAACAATACAAACCAGCAAGCAAGTAGTAAAAATAAATGCAAAATGGTGTTATGGTGTCACTGGTGTTGGCTTGCTGAGCTTCATAAGCTGTGACAGACCCACAGGTTGCAGTTTGGACACTCTTGCAGGATAGACATTCCTATGAAGTACATACAGGCTATCCCGTTCTTCAATTCACATCAACATGAAACAGCCAAGTGAGTGCACTACATCAATATAATAGAGATAATTTACCCTTTCTGTTGTCATTAGGAGCATATGTAACCTTGACTCAACTGTATTTTCTGCTATTTTAGAATTGCTATATTGAGGAGAGGGTGCAGATAAAATACACAGGTTTACAGCAAAATAGTGTAAGTGACATCTGTTCTCTATTCAGCTGAATAAAGCATAAGTTTATTCATTGGTCTGAAGACAGATTTGGTCACATGGTGCCACCCTCACTCATTTGCGAAGATTTAACTGGGCACGGGCAAGCCCTGAGCTAGTTTTAAAGAAAATGCATCTGCACTAGGAGGGACAGATCACATTTGTCAAAAGTAATACTGATCAGCAGCTAATTTTTAAAACAAACATCTTTAGATTAAATGCACAGAGCACTTAGGCAAGAGGACAGCAGAAATGAATCAACATTCGCTTTGAAATACCCATTCAATGACTAAGTTTAAACTATTAAATTTAAACTTAATATCCCAGTGTGAAATAAAGCAAAGGGATACATTTCCCAAAGTGCAGTGTTATCCAGAAGATAGCAAATCTCCAGTACAAACATGAAATGAGCTATCAGCAATTTACCTGGCCGACAATGAAGGCTAATTCAGAGCAATGAGAAAATTGGACATGCACCAGATATAACAACATCTGCCTAGTTATCCAGAAGTCTGACTTGCCACTTTGCGCACCAATGTCTCCAAATCACGATGCCCAGAACTAAGCTTCAAGCTATGGGTCTCTGCCAGTCTGTTTATAGAATCCCTACAGCATGGAAGCAGGCTATTCAGCCCATCGAGTCCACACCGATCCTCTGAACAGCAGCCCACCCAGACCCACCCCTTACCCCCATACCTGCATTTCCCACTCAAGACACTATAGGCAATTTAGCATGGCCAATCCACCTAACCTACACATCTTTGGACTGTGGAAGGAAACCAGAACACCTGAAAGAAACCCACGCAGACACGGGAAGAATGTGCAAACTCTGCACTGTCGCCCAAGGCTGGAATCGAACCCAGGTCACTGGCACTGTGAGGCAGCAGTGCTAACCACTGACCCACCATGCCGCCTTGTGTTTACACCAACCTGTGACCTTGGATTTATTAAAAATGCACTGCTGTGCCAAGGCAATAGACTCAGCCATTGCTGCATTGCATCAGGTGCCTGGAAATAAGAAACGTTACTAAAAGTAGTATGAAATGCAAAAAGAACCACAAAGAAAGTATATACATAATCAAAACAGAATTAAGTTTTCTGAACTTCAAAGAGCATAGTTTAAACGCTCATTATCATGAAAGGCTGAAAAGGAAAAGAAATGGGAAAGTGTGCATTGTGAAACAGCGAGAGTAAAGTATGCCAAGTCCTGTCACAGGGAGGCAGTTAGTATGGAGAACAGACACCTTAGAAAAACCAGGAAGAGAGGAAAGCTGGGAAACGGTACACATATTGTGCTAGTCCCCCAACTATCTCTATTTAACAGGGCAGAGCATCCTTGACTCTCTTACTGCCTCATTGCTTTGTTCAGCCTTACAGTTAATGCCCAACCCTTAGCTTTTGAAGTCCAGGTAACGCAGTCCTGTACTACTTGTACATCTCAGTTGCTGGTTGTCCTGTTTATATTTCACCAGGCTGGGGAATTTGGAAAGAGCTGCTCTTGGTTAGATAGAAAGTTAACTAAATAAGCTAAAGATATGTGCCCAAATCCCTCCAAAATATAAGAGTCTTAAGTGGAAGCTAGAAAGGAGGCAGAAGAACTTTGTCTTACATTGGAGCTCAGTTATCCTCCAAGCTGATTAATGTTTTGGAAGAAAGGCCGCTAAACTGTTCTCTTTTGGACTTCTGAATTTTGGAGTTTATGTCTGAAGGGTTTTAATGATTTACTTGCTAGTATTAGAAACCTCCTGGAGTAATGGGGGATTTACATTAGGAGCGTTTATGTGCGAACAAAGTAAATGAGTAGTACCTTAGGTTTTCAGATAGATGATTCTGGACTTTTTTGGACTTGGAAGAACCCACAAGTTGGAAAAAGCAGATTTTTAGTTTCAGTTTTGAGCCATTACAGAAGTCTTATCTGAAGTTGGATAGATGTAAAACTGTTGCTCCTGAGCAAGGGAGTTAATTATGGACTGTTAGAAAGAAGCTACCTTAATATAAGGATTTTAAAAGGTCATAGATCATAAGTGTTTGGCTCAAATCTTTGAGTCATTTGAAGCTAAAAGAAATCTAAGCTCAGTTGTATGAAGGTTCCAAGAAGAGACTATCACGTTCTCAGATGGGGAAATTGAAGCCACAGTGAAATTAAGTCTTATAGATGTAAAAGTGAAGGAAATTCTCTGGTATGAATATTATAAAAGGATGCTGTTGGGATCATTAGGGTTGTCCTTCTTTCTTTAAATATTTAAATCTTTGTTATATACAAATATCTTAAAGCTTGGTTTATTCTTTGTCTATTACGCAAATGAAATGAAGACAAAGATACAATGCTGCAGAATCAGGTTTAACAGTAAAACAAAAGTCTATTATGCAAATGAAATGAAAACTTTTGTTTTACTCTTAAGCCTGATTCTGCAGCATTGTATTTTTGCGCTTGTTTGTTAAAACAACAAAAAAAATAAAATGATCCATCAAGCTAGATTTCAGCCTTGGATCTAACTTGTCCAGTAATGGAATTGTAACACTTTACAGACTCCATTAGACCGATGTTTTATTTTCAGATTTCCAGCTTCTTAAATCTATTTCTCGACTGCCATTCACCAATTTTCCTGCAAAGGGAGGATGGAGGGAGCCCAAGGGAATAAGAAAGTGTAGAGGAATCGGCATTGTATGACAGTGCTTAAACTAGCAGATAGTGGTGCCAGTGTCAATAGTGATGCAGAGTTGATGGTTCAAACCAGACAACACTGGGAGGAGTGGGAGACATATTTAAAAAAGCTGGAATTTCATCATACAAACACTTGACAATAATTCAGAGATTCCATCCTGGTCATAGTTCTCCTGTCTCCTTCCATAAAGGGTTGAGGGGAAACAAAGATTATCAAATTATATTAAGTCTTGTGTTATGAAGACAACTTTTAATTTTAAACAGAGAACGAAACCAGCAGCAGTTCACAAAACTATTCATTGGCATCAGTAAGCAGGCAATATACCATACAGGCTGGGTTAACAGTGTACACATGGTGTCAACAAAGCTCTTCAAAACGGATTTGAGAGAACTAGGCCTTCTAGAAAGGCTTGCTGCATGACAAGTTCACAAGATTCTTAGACTATGGAAGCAGAGGTGGTTGTGGACATGTAAAAGGCAGTCAAGAATTAGTCAGCCATTGCTGCAGGAAGGCTAAGCTCACACACAAGCTATTTTGACTACTCTGGATCCCAGCCGTGCCCCACCAAATGGGCAGAGCTTAGAGCCAAAATATTGAATCATACTGGAGTTATCTTGCTATACGTGGCTCCAGTGGTAATACCCTACAAACAGCAAGCTGTTAATGCTTCATTAGGTTATAAATTCAGAAACAAAAAGGTAAACTCCATACAAAATGTTTAAAAGAAATGTGTCAAGAAGGTTTGATCCATTTGATTCCCAGTTCCCCTCCAGTAAATAAACACTCCTGAAATTTTCCCCACAGGTTAATTTTATCGCTGCAAGCAAATGAAGCAAAAACATTACAGCTGTCTGCTAGGAAGCAGCATAATAAATAGCAACTATACACCTTCCATGAACATACATTTATCCGTCTGTTGCCCTCCTACCTCTTTTCTTTTCTTGCCTTGCCTTTCCTTCTGTCAAAGAGAGATTACCACAAAAGAAATGCATCACATATAATAGGATTTGTTAAAAGACATCACTACCTGATACACCCTTCCCAATGGCACACCATCTCCCTTTTGACCAGGAACACACCATACTGATACCCATCTTCCTCCTGATGGCCATTATCAAGCCCTAATGAAATGAAGGCCATTACACCACAGCAGCGGAAGGCAGTTTAATCTCAGCTCCCAAAGCAACTGGAACTAAACCAAACAACTTTGAAGTATTGTACTTCAGGTACAAGACTGTGATCTGGAGGAGTGCTGGGCAAGCTGTAAAAGGCATGAATCACAGAATATTAAACTGAACAACACAGACTATTCTGTCCTTTGTGCCAGTGAGGCACTTTAGTAGTAGTTGGCGGATTACTTGACATAATAAATAAAACCAAACAATTGCTTTAAGGGATCTACCTCAAATTAAATGGGGCATTGTCCACATTGCACAAATGATGTTACACTTTAGGTTGAAATTAAACATCTCCGAAATTTACCATGAACAACACATGGAGGGAGTATAACCATAAAATTAGAGCCAGGCTGCTCAAGAGTAATGGCAGGAAGTAGTTCTTCACAGGCAATAATGGAAATCTGCAATTTCTTTCCCCAAAAATGTTGAAACTGGGGCTCAGTTAAAATTTTAACAGATTTGTTATGCATGGATAGTAATGATTACAGAACCAAGTTAAATAAAGAATCAGTTCAGCTAAATGCAGGGCAGAAAGGGCTCAATGGGTATATCGCCTCCTCTTATCTCAAATTTAAAAAAAAAATCAAAGTGGTACCAGATCATACAGTAATCACAACCGAACAGTCAAAACTTACTCAGGATTACATTTGATCTGGCTTTTAAGAGAAATGTCAGACCGTGCCATTCACATTGCATTTTTATATGCAAGAAACCAACTCTCTCTTTTTCAAAGCAAGCATTTAGGTTCTGAGGAAGGGTCACCAGACCCGAAACGTTAACTGAATTTTTCTTTAGATGCTGCCAGACCTGCTGAGCTTCTCCAGCAACTTTTGTTTTTGTTCCTGATTTACAGCATCCGCAGTTCTTTCGCATTTTTTTCTCTTTTCCAAGTTGACTTTAGTCAAGAAGTAACCAGAGGTGTAGCAGAAACTATTTGAAATGTGAAACATATATAATAAGTGAAATGAGTTGCTGATAGAGACATTTTTGCAAGCTCCTAGGTCTCATATTTCAATAGAAGCATGAGGAGCCACTGAGCCAACTCAATGTATGTACGTGCCCAGTGACAGAGGGTGAAGTGCATGTCACACAAGCAGAAGTCTGCCACCTACAGCTGCACCCAGGTGAGCAAGTTGATATCTGCTGCCTGCTTTTGAGAGTCTGGTCTCAGGAGTGGACTGAAACAACAGGACCTCTAGTTTACGCAAACTCAAGTGATGCAGACTGCAGTAAATGTGTGGAGCGAACCTCATCAACTGCTTTAAAAACAGTTCCCTTCAAATTTTGCTCCCTCCCAAAAGGGAGTGTTTTATTTGCATTGAACCTGAAGCAAAAGCCAGATAAGTAGTTTTCACCTTCATTTTAACATGCTAATTCACAGCAATGCCAATTAGGTTACGCACAAAACAGAATTTAAAGAAAATTAAAACTATCAAAATAGTTGTCTTAATTGTTTAAATTTTTGTTATTATGTAATGATGCCAGTTCACCGTGCCTTTTTAAAAATGCACCAGGCTCCAACTACTTCTGTTTAACATTGATGCTTTTTTCATATTTAAGTCAATATTTTCAGTATAATAAATTTGAAATCTCATGCATAAACCAAGGGAACAATGTTGAATTACATAGACTTGCTATGCATGATTTTGCTTTGAAATCGGCAGATTACCAGGTAGTTATGAGCCGTATACATCATTGAAACACTGGCAAATGAAATGAAAAGTTAAAATAAAACAGTTGGAAAAAATCAAAATGTAGATAATAAAATTAATATACGTGGAGATACGATATTTTGGGATGCAAATCATTTGTTAAAACTGCAAGATACTACCAATGAACAGCACTGGAAGAAAATGGAAAGAAAAAACAAAGGAAAATAAATTCAACCTGCGAAGTTTCAAAGGGAAAATAAGAGACAGTTAAATGTTAGTAGTGATCAGCATAAGATACAATCAACAACACTGGATAAAAGAGACAGGAGACATACTTTACATGCTAATAGCTTTGGGGAATGGGAAACAAAGATATAGAATGAGAAGCATAAAAGTCATAAAGCTGAATTGACTGCTTGGAGCCTGGTAGAAGGTAAAGGTAAGTGAATGCCAAGAGTACCAACCACCTTGGCATTTAAACAGAGGGGTTTCTCCCTCAGACATCAACACATTCCTTCCCCTCAAGGCCATTGGAAACGTTAGCAACCCCGGACAGAGAAAACATAAATGAAGCTTGAGCAGCCGAGTCAATGATAAAGCCAAAGAATCTTGCAGAGGATACAATGCTGTTCCCTGATGTGATGATTTGCTCCAATGAAATTGAATACAGTTGAAATCAAATCAAATGCTGCCTTCAGCTAATTAACAGCAATTTAAATAAAAGAAAATTGTACAAGCTTTGGAGCAATGCAGGTGTTAAATTTGGAGTCTGGCATTTCACCTTTAGCAGAAGCTTGAATCCTATATAGAAATATACATGGACAAGGTAATGCTATGGTTACAGCCTGGCACTTATTGGTACATTTATTGAATTACCATGTGGAATGTTCTGCTTCAGACTCATCGATGTTCTGTTGGTATCATCAGGTTTTGAATCAGAGAAAGAAGCAGTTCTGCTGGGGGCTGGAGTCTGGAAGGAAACAAGAAGTAGTTTATATATTCTACTAAGAGATGCAACAATTGCCAGCCAATCTGTTCATCAACAACTGTGATTTAAACGTTCTGAAGTCGTCAGACTGGACTCTGCGAGAACGGAGTTTCCAGCATTCTCTCTATTCTGCTTTTATAGATATTCTGTCAAAGAATTCTAATAAATTTGTCAGGCATAATTTCTCCTTCATGAAACTATACTAACTCTGCTTAAGAGCATATACTTCTAAACACTATTACATAGTATATTATAAACTCAAATATTTTCCCAATATGTTAAGATAACTGGCGTATAGTTGCCTGTATCACATCTTATTCCCTTTGAGTGTACAGGTGTTACATCAGCATTCCAACACTTCTCCAAAATCTAACAATTCTTGGAAGATTATTATGAATGCAACAATCTTTATAGCTAGTCCTTTTAATATTCTAGGATGCATCTCATCCAATCTGGGTCTTTAACCTCATTAATTTCCCTAGTACTTTTACTCTAGTGATAATTATTGTATTTGTCTCCCCTTTCTGCTCTTGATTATTTAGTATTTTTCAAATGCTTTTCAAAAGAAGGTTCTAAAATGGGCATAAGCCAACCATGGTTAACCAAAAGGTAGATAAGGACTCCATCAATTTGAAAGTAAAAACATATGTAGCAAAGATTAATGTTAAGCCAGAGGGCTAAGAACATTTAAAAACCAACAAAAATGACCAAAAGAATGAAAGAGAAGGTCAAGAGTAAACTTGCAAGTAATAATAACATGGACAGAAGTATCTTTAAATGCAAGAAAAGAGACAGACTGAAATGAGCATAGGCTCTTCGAGAATAACACTGGGGAAATGAAAATGGGGAGCTAGAAAATGGAAGAGTTGAATAAATACTTTGTACTAGTCTTTGTGGTAGAAGACATTAATAGCATACAGCAGTCAAGTGTGCCACTGTCACCCCTGATGAGGGCAGAATAGTGGAATTTAAACTGAAGATTTCCCTTCCCAGAATCTTGCTTTCTCACTGAGATATATCTTCGCTGTGAGCCATCAGCTCTATTCATAAACTCTGCCACTGATCCTCAATTATCTTTCCTGCTGAACTCCTTTCCCAGTCCACTCCACTTGGGTCTGTTCTCATTCCTTTATAAATTACCCTTATTTAAGTGGAACACTGTTGTTTCCAACCTGAGCTGTTCCCTCTCAAACCAAATGCTAAATTCTACCATGTAATGGTCACTGTTCCCTCACGGATCTGATATTCCAAGATCATTTATTTATCCTACCTATTTACACATTACTGGATGCAAAATAACCTGCTTCCTGCTTGGATCCACAACATTTTTTTGAAATTCACTCACTGGACATGGATATTACTGGCTTGATAGCATTTATTGCCCATCCCTGGCTGCACTTGAATGGAGTGGCTTGCTAGGCCATTTCAGAGGGCAGTTGAGAGTCAACCACATTGCTGTGGCTCTGCAGTTACACGTAGGCCAGACTGGATAAGGACTGCAGAATTCCTTCCCGAAGGACGTTAATGAGACAAATGGGTTGTTCCAACAACAGGCAATGGATTTTATGGTTACTAGTAGGTTCTGAATTCTAGATTTTTTTTTTTTTTTTTTTAAATTGAATTCAAATGCCACCATCTGACATGGCAGGATGCAAACCAGAGGTCTCCAGAAAATTTGCTGAGTTTTTGGATTAATAGTCTAGTGATAACTCCACTATGCCATTGCCTCCCCCAAAATTTAGTTATATTATCCTAGGAAACTGCCTCAAAATATAGTATGAACTCTTCCTCAGGGCTACTTTTGCTAATCTGTCTATCAATCTACATAAAGATTAAAATCACCCCAGATTAATGTGCAGCCTTTTCAACATTCTCTCATTATCCCCTGATTTATTCTATATTACAGAACAACTAATGTCAGGGGGTCTATTGATTATGCCTACCAATGTTGTCCACCCCTCATCATTTACCTCCACCAAAACTGATTCTATATTGACCAATCTAAGATTATTTCTTGCTGTCGTACTTTTCCATGCTGTATGAACAAAGCTACCTCATCAGGCTTTCCTTTCAAAAAGTCTCATACCCATGATTATTTAATTCCCAGCTTAGATCTCCTTTTAACTCCATGAAGATAAGACCCATTAACCTCTATTTACAGCATAAATTCATTTTCTTCCCAAAAATGTTACATGCATTCAAATAGTGCTCTTAATTTTTGCCTTACTATTTTTCTCCAATAACCCTCTTTTTATTGCTGTTTTTGTATGTTTATATACACTGTCCCTTTGTCCTTTTCTAGATATAGTTATTCAAATAGCTGTCCTGTAAACACTTTTCCTTTGCAAACCTATAGTTCCTCTCTGCTTAATCCTCCCCAACCTCTAATTAGTTTAATACCCACTTTACAGACAGTTATTCAGTTCGCCAGGCTGCTTTTCAGATTTGTATATTTTCCAGATTTCAGATCTCCTAAAAATAGTACGACCTCATACTTTCCCAATTCAGAATGTTCACACCTGTTCCTCTAAGGACCCCAAATTGCTTAAACATCGTAATCAGTTAAATTAATCTTAAATCCTCTGCACTAGAGAATACAAGCCTCGTCCAAAGCCTCATGCAGTACAGTGGTAAAGTCCCTACCTCTGAACCAGGAGATCCAGGTTCAACCTGCTTCAATGGTGTGTCATAAAATCTCTGAATAGGTTGAATAGAAATTATATACAAGACTTGTCTATGACGACCTCATGCTCCCTCCCCTATTCATTGCTCCAATAACAAATACCAATAAATGAGCAGTCACAGTCTCCTGATTACAGCACTTTCAACAATTTTAAATCATTTCAAAATCAAAACAAGCTAGCAGATAACAAGAAACACCAATTCTTCAAAACATCTCTCGCCTATTTTAGGGCTCCTACACTTACTGATGGACTGCCGCTGGCATTTAGAAGGAAGTTGGCAGTGTGGGCAGCCATGGGTGGCTGGTCAGGAATGGTTCGGTGACCAAGTGCCATTCCCACAATTGCAGTCATGTGCGTTTCTGTTCCAAAAACATAGATAGGAATTCCAGTTGTCTTCCCTGTGAACAGAGATTAATTGGTTAGGACTAGAACAATTGGAACTGGATAACTTTATGTTAAAGCATGTGAATAAACTACTCTATTATTCTAGGCTGGGAAGCAGGTAAGGGTATAAATAACAGAGTTAATAGGAAAACATTCCTTTTTTGAAGTCAAAGAAGCTTGGAGGACAAAGCCAATATGCCCTCATTATTCTTCCAAACTACACCGAACAATGAAACTGAGCCAATGTGGACAGATTTAATCAGTGGGCAGAATGTATCTTTTGCATTTCTATGTGCCCGTTCAGCGATGCCTGCGTGTTATGGTTGAGGAAAACAGGCTATTATTGTAGTTTCTATTTTACCTCCTCCCTCTCACTACATTGGTTTTACCAGCCTCAGAGTGGACAGGGGACCTAACCGCATCCCTTTGGATCCTATAGCAATACAACTTCGCAAAAGTGCCTCAAGTGAAGCTTCACCAAGATTTGTATGAAGATTTGCTAAAGGAATCATAGCTATAGACCAACATGCTGTAACTTTAATATCAGATTCATACAATACAGAAGAGGTTCTTCAGCCCATTAAAAGTCTGCACCAAAGCTACACTAAACCTACATTGATTGATTGATTTTTGTCACTTGTACTAAAGTACACTGAAAAGCTTTGTTTACAAGCAGTACAGGCAGACCATAGTAAGCAAGGATGTACAGATCTAAAAGACTGGAGGCATACAGGTTACACTGCACAGGGCATGTGCTAAGCAAGATCAGCATTATTTGAAGCTAGACAGTCCATTCAGCAGTCTAATAACAGTCAAGAAGCTGTTACTGAACCTGCTGGTGCGCGTTCAGGCTTCTATATCTTCTGCCTGACAGAAGAGTTTGTAGGAGATCATTATCAGGGTGTGATGGGTCTTTGATGATGTTGGCAGCCTTTCCCCGGCAGCAGGTCATGTAAATAAAGTCCATGGATGGAAGGGTGGCTTCCGTAATGGTCTGGGCTGTGCACACCACCTTCTGTAATCTTTTATGGTCCTGGGCACAGCAGTTGCCATACTAGGCTGTTATTCACCCGGACAGTTATGCTTCCAATGGTGCATCTGTAGAAGTTGGTGAGGGTCTTTACGGACATGCCAAATTTCCTGAGCCTCCTGAGGAAGAAGAGGCGTTGTGCCTTCTTGACTGTTGCATCAACATGGATAGTCCAGGACAGGTCATAGGTTATCGTCACTCTAAGGAACTTGACGCTCTCCACCCTCCGTTCCATTCATGTAGATGGGGGTGTGTTCTCCTTTCTTTCTGAAGTCAATGACCAGTTCTTTAGTTTTGCTGACATTGAGAGAGAGGTTGTTCTCATTGCACCACATCACCAAGCCCTCTGTCTCTCTTCTGTATTTGACAGATCATTGTTAGATAGGTGTCCCACTATGGTGGTGCTGTCAACAAACATTTGGATGGCATTTGTTTGGAATCTGGCAACACGGTTGCGGGCGTACAGGGAGTACAGCAGGGGGCTGAGGATGCATCTTTTTTTTTGGGGGGGGGGGTGGGGAGCGCGCTCCAGTGTTGAGCTGAGTGTTATTGTGGGAGGTGCAGTTACCTATCCTCTCCGATTGCGGCCTATGGGTCAGAAAGCTGAGGATCTGGCTGCAGAGGAAGGAGCCAAGACCAAGTTTTGAGATCAGTCTGGAGGGGATAATGGTGCTGAAGGTGGAGCTGTAGTCAACCTGCAGGAGTCTGACGTAGGTGTCCTTCCAGGGATGGGCGCAGGGCTAGGGATATAGCATCCTCTGTGGATCTGTTACATCAGTAGGCAAACTGTAGGGGATCGAGTCAGGCTGGGAGACTGCAGTTGATGTGGGCCATGACCAGCCTCTGGAAGCACTTCATGATTATTGAGGTTAGAGCTATTGGGTGGTAGTCATCAAGGCACACTGCATGTGTTTTCCTGGGTACCCGGATGATGGTGGTCCTCTCGAAGCAGCTGGGGACTTCGGCTTGTAGGAGGGAGAGGCTGAAGATGTCAGTGAATACCTCCGCCAGCTGGTGCATACAGGATTTGAGTGCTCAGCCGGGGACACCATCTGGGCTTGTTGCTTTCCCTGGGTTGACTCCCCGGAAGACCGCTGCAGACATCAGATCGGTGACTGAAGGAACAGGTGCATCTGGGGCTGTTGGGGCACTAGTTCCACTTACTATTACTTGGTCCATTGCCTTGAATGTCATCAAATTTCAAGTGCTCATTCAAGTGGTTTTTAAAACTGAGATTACCTGCCTTAACTACCCTCCCAAGCAGTACATTCCAGAGTCCTACACCTTCTGGGTTAAAAATATAGTTGCCTCTAAACCTATTGACTTTCACCTTAAATGGGTGCCCCCTTGTTATTGACCCTTCAATTATGGGGAACAATGTTTTCTATCCACCCTGCCCACGCTCCTCAATCTTGTACACTTCTATCAGGTCCCCTCTCAACTTTCTTTGCTCTAAAGAAAACAACCCGAGCTTATCCAGCCTCTCTTCATAGAGAGAGAAAAACTGTTCCATCCCAGTCAACATCCTGGTGAATCTCCTCTGCCCTGAAGGGGGTGCAATCACATCGTGACTATAATGCAATGATCCAGAACTAGAGACAATAATTCAGCTAGGGCCTAACCAAAAGGTCTGTCCAGTTCCACCATAACCCTCCTATTCTTATCACCAATGCCTCGACTAATAAAAGGCAAGTGTCCAGTATTTGGCACAGATTTGATTTATAGCTAATAGTTTGTCAGTTCTGCATTTTATACTCGACATACTGATTGCAGTAATTAACTACTTCATAGGTTGGACTCTTGGACTTCTCTTTTTAAGAAGTTGTCAAGCCTCACCAACTTCACCCATGACACGGAGACCCTCTTGGTAATTGGGTCCACCTCTCCTGACAAAAATGGAGACGTTATGATTCTGCAACGGGGTTTGGTAGTCCTTGATGGCACGTACAATGCCCTAGGATTGAAAATAAAAAGATCAACAGACAGACATCAAGATGTTTCATCTTTAACACAAAATCAATTCAAACAACAAAGTTTTACCAGAAAAGATGGGTTTGGCTACTGGCTCCCTCGATTCCTCCAATGCAAGAATATTTAGCTGTTTTCCCAGGAACAGAGTTTCCTGCCATATTAAATTTTTATTCGTGAGTCCAGGCCTTTCAGTGATTTATGCTGAAATTTTGGGATCAGTTTTTTTTTATTTGTTCATGGGATGTGGGCGTCATTGGCTTAGTCAACATTTACTGCCCATCTCTAAATAGCAAGAGGGTAGTTAAGAGCCAACCACATTGCTGTGGATCTGGAGTCACATGCAGGCCAGGTAAGAACAGATTTCTTTCCCAAAATAATATTTAATGAACCAGATGGCTTTAAAACAAAAAACAATTAACAGTAGTTCCACGGTCACCCTTAGTTAGGCTAGCTTGTTTTTTAATTCCAGATTTTTTACTGAATTAGAATTTTGCCATCTGCCAGGTCATTAGTCTGGGGCAACAAAACAGAAGTTGCTAGAAAAGCTCAGCAAGTCTGGCAGCATCTTGAAGAGAAATCAGATAAAGTCAAAAATCAGACACTAGGTTACAATCCAACAGGTTTATTTGAAATCACAAGCTTTCAGAGCGCAGCCCCTTCGTCAAGTGGGGCTTTAGATGATCATTCCGGGCTACCCTGCCTCCCCTGCAGCTGGCCATTTTAAAAAGCAGAATGGATGTCAATCTTTATTCATGGGGATGTTGACCTATCAGATATGGATCACTCAGGAATGTCAACAGATCACCCTCCTTTCACTGAGCCACTCTGCTGATTCACCAAGGAAGATTTCAGACCTACTTAAAGTGACATAACAGAGAAAGCAATCCTTAATAATGTTTCAGACGTGTCCTTCACATTGAAAGGGCATTTTTCTTTCCTCAAAAAGTCACCCACGTCATAAATCCATTAGTTTAATTACTGCCTTTGGAATTGATTTTATTCTGGCTGTTTGAAATCATTTTAAGAGGGTTGTTAGTTAGGAAAAAACAGACAGAATGCCAACAGCCAAAAGAGCATCAACCCATTAATTAATAGCTGCACCAAGAGCTGAATGAATGAGTAGCTGTGGAAGCTGTGTCAAGACAACTAGACTCGATATTTTATGAAGAAATAAAATGAATTTGGTTCTATTGGCTTTTGTGTGAAGCACAAAGGGATAGTGCGGAATAGTTACAGCAAGTAACCTGGAATTATCTAAAACAGTTAAAAGATATAATGACAATGGAGCAAAGATATTTCTTCTAAATGAACAGAGTTATGTCAGATAGCCTTATGCTTGTAGTTATCATGTGAATTAATGATCAACCAGACCACTGGACACAATTACTTTACACCAAAAATCAATTAGCAGAAAAGTGCTAAACATTTGCAGTCCAATTCAGTAACTCAACCAATTTCATCACTTCCATCCCTACCCATGCCAACCCCATTCACCTCTTCCTCAACCATCAGTAAAATTAAACATACTTATCCAATCCAATGTCTCATCCACTCTCCACACCATTCCTACTCTTCCAAGCCTTCCCCAACCTCCCATTTTTGAAGCCATCCACATCATGTACCACAGCCTCCATCCTTTCCCCCAAATACCCAACTCCCACCATATTTCTATACGGACACTGATTTGCCAACCCAGTCTCCTGAAAGGAAAAGCTCCTTGGCAGACATACTGAAACTTACTTAATCAAGATCCAATCAAATCTGTTATACCTGAAGTAAGCTCCAAAGCAGTGCAGGCTCAGTTGGACTGGATCTCCACTTCCTTCCATAATGTGAGGAAAAGATGTGTACCTCGGTTAATCCTGCAACAATTCTGACAATTTCACTCTCCAATGTCACATCTGTTACTTTTATGCCACTCCTCCAACCAATCTATTCCATCCATCCCTTCCCAAATTCCTTCTCCCCACTCCTTTGCTCCTTCCCCCATCCTCTGCAACGCCATCCCTATTTCATTCTTTCCATAACATCCAAATCCTATGCTATTCTCTCTCCTATCATAGGTCCCCTCAAATTCTCTAACTAAGATAATTAAAGTTTCCGTCACCCACGCCAAGCATACATGCTTCATATACTCTTGTCCTCCACTTACCAAATCAACTCACTGGCCAAACTGAAAAGGGCATATAGAGAAAAATACAGTTTAATATAGATTCAAATATTCAGACATTACCTTAAATGTTGCTGCTACGTTTGTGAAGTTAGCAATGCTACCTCCAATAATGAGGATTTTTCCTGAATAGAACAGAACAAATTTACTCAGGCAAGTTAAAGAGTTAGCAAAAAACAGTAATTAGCCTCCTATAGCATCTTATATTGCTCTGTGTGTAAAAATATTTGATTACTTTGCAGCACAACAGATAAACATGGACATCAGACAAGAGTAAAGGCGATGAGAAAGCTATAATGGAAGAGTGGAGGAAAGTGAGGTAACTAGCCAGAGACCCTTTTTTTCAAAAACACAAAAAATAAATAGTCTCAGGAGGTTCAGCGTGCAGCAACAAATGAAGTGAAGAAAGTAAAAAGGCAGACAGACCTGGAGGAGTATATCAATAGTGGATGCACCAAGGGTGAACACGAGAGTAAGGGAAAGGAGGATTAGATCATACTACTCAAACCTGTGCCTCCATTCAATGCAATCCTGGCTGATTTTGGACTTCCACACTTGCCCACCTGCTCTCCACACGCCTGAGAGATTAAAAATCTGGCTCAGCCTTAAATATATTCAACAATGGAGTATCCACAACCCTCTAGGGTAAAGAATTCCTAATATTTACAATGCTTTGGGTGAAGGAAATTCTCAGCTTAGCCCTAAATGGTAGGAGACAGTGCCTACATGTTGTGAGAATTGATGATTAAAATAAATCACTGACATAGGTTTAGCAGCAATTAAAGGGAGCCAAAGACCAACTGTGCAAATCTTCATAATCTGTTGCATAAAGGCAGCAGATATTTGCAAAGAGCATAAAAGTGATAGAAGTCCAAGATTTGGGAGGAAGATGGCAATCAGAATGATTTTAATGTAGTCTGGTAAAGGTAAACAACATTGGTAGAACAGGGGCCAGGGCTAGAGGACAGTTTTGGTTCTAGCCAATTTTGACCATCCCACAGAGGGCAGCAATGTTCTGAGGATCAGTACAGAAGATGAAGAGCTGCTTGCCATCAGCACATGTGGAAAGTAATTATATTCCAGAGAATAACGATCTAATCCTCCTTTCCCTTACTCTCGTGTTCACCCTTGGTGCATCCATTATTGATATACTCCTCCAGGTCTGTCTGTCTGTCTTTTTGCTTTCTTTACTTCATTTGTTGCTGCACGCTCAACCTCAGACTATTTATTTTGTGTGTTTTTGAAAAAAAAGGGCTCTGGCTTGTTACCTCTCTTTCCTCCACTCTTCCATTACATAATATTAGGCAGAGAACCAGAGTTGTGGATCGGGGAACCACTGGCAATTTAACATGTGCAATGCAGTGAGTAGAAAACAGGAAAGCGAAGTGGCTGGAAGTGAATGCTCCATTATGAGCTCACTCAATTTCAAGATTGTTCTGATCCTTTTTATTCTCACCTTCTGGATGTTGCTCTCTGGTCATTAGAGACAAAATGGTCTTAGCATAATCATAGGTTTGCTGCTCACTGGGGGCACCCGAATACTCTCCATAATTTGCCAACTCATCCACTCCTCCAAGGTCACAGATGGTGTCACTGTGAACAAGTAGGCAGGAAAACAGTTAACAGTCAAACCAAAATTGCCTACAATAAAAAAAAAATGAAGATCTACCCTTACTTCATGACTTCTCAATTAAATGTAATAGGTCTCACTATCTACCCCCTCCTCCATTCTTCCCCTCCCAAGTCCACAATTAATCTTCCATGAAATTGTGCATTGTTATGCCTTGAAAATAGGATCACTTGGATCAATAAGCATTCAAAACGTCTCCACCATTCACTGTCTAACATTTATTTTGACAAAGTTAATAAAAAACATTCAAATAAAACCAAAATACAATTCATTCCCCGAAGCTTTCCTTTTTTCCCCTCATTGATCTGCTGGAAGTTTGAAATTAAGCTCTATTTCCTGAATCTACTGGTGACAGGAGCCAAAGAGCGGGGACTAATGATTTTGATTTGCTCTTGAAGGGTTCAAACTTCTGCACCCAGATTTAGTTACTGGAGAGTAAGCAATACCTGTATACAACAGAGGCACCTCCTCCAGCCACCATTGTCCAAATCCTACCCTTAGGGTTCAGGATAGTCAGCTTCAGACTGGCTCCACTCTTTGCATCAAGATCAGCAATATAAGCTTCCTGTAACAGTAAAGACATCAAAATACAATGCAGGTATTTTAAATAATTTAACCAGTGATCAGCCATAATCATACTGAATAGCAGAGCAGGCTCAAAGGGTCAAATGGTCTTCTCCTGCCCCTATTTCTATGTTCCTACACTCAGTTTATCAAAAGCAGATTCATCACATCACTCAATTAGTCCATAGCAGTCTTCACTCAACAGATACAGAAGACAAATGCAACATGACTGAAGTAACTACTTTGCCAGATACGTCTGAAATTATAATGGTGTCGGCACAATTGTTCATGCTCTAAACAGCTAGCAACCTGTACTGAAGAAACAGTAAATTTTCAATCCCCACAATTTGGTGACACATTTGCCCTATTCCATCATTAGTTTTGCAAAACAGAATCTCATCCTCAACTCCCTCATACAAACTCTATGCAACTGCTACATTTGCATGCCAACTGTCTTGAAACTTGCCACAGAATATAGAGTTTCATAATTAACACTGCAACTCCATTAGCACGATAAGTGTCAATAACCTCTCTGGTCCAGAAAATGACCAGTTAAAAGTATGGAGTCTCATCTCTTCAATGTGCCAATTGTTTGAAGAGATTTCAAAAATATTACCTTTATTTTTCCTCTCCCTCCGTTAGCTGCACTGAATTACCTTTCCCTACTTCACTTTCCTCCCTACTCCACTTTATTTCCCATTCCTTTCATTTTATTGGTAAAGGAGATCCATTGTCTCTCATTGCTCACAAACAGATCAGATACCCTGTTGTCTCCCTGTGCTGTATCAGTTCATACTCTCAACAAGCTGGTGAGCAAATAAAAATGAACACTAAACATGCACAAATTCTAACTAATGTTATGAGCTATGATCCCTCTAAGCTGCACAAACACTTGACCATGCAGCCACTCAGTTTCCATACGACCCAATCAGCATGCCAATGTACTAACTTCCTGGTTTGGACCTTGGAGATCCACACACGAATCTGAGGGAGATTTTGGTTGCGAGATGCTATGCTTCAGCAAATCCTAGTTGATTGTTTTTATTCACCAACATGGTCATAAGTGGCAGAACGCAACCCAAAGTGGAAAGGAGCTCTATATAGGGAGCTCAAATGCAGACTGAACACTCACTTCAACATCACAACCAGTTATTTTTCCATTGTTTGCTTCATTGAGTATTAAAACATTAAGCTGCAAAAGCACAAAGATTCTCAAAACTCACTCCTTGATCCAAGGGGACACTTGGGATATACAGTTTTGACCTGACAAGAAGGAGTCAAACCCAAGGTAATTAGCAAAGTCTTCAATTACTGCAAACTGTAGGCCATTGACAATTGTGCTAAATGGGCTATTTCATGCCAATAATTTTCTTTCGCAAGTAGGAAGTATAAACAAATAGTGGCATCAAATTAGTTAGTGTCAGATGGTCAACATCCCTCAAAGCTTAGATACAAGAGAAATTGCTAATCTGCATGACCTCAAATCTATAATCTGAGAGCAGCACACTTGAGCAATGCTGCTGTGACATCAGATAGCATATGCCATCTCACCACTTGATCCTTATCATGCAGATGTGGTTGAGCAACCCTGGTAGGCTTGCTAACAAGAGTCGATACTTGCATTTGATATTAATGTTAACTCAACTGATGACTAAATTATTGAGAACCATCATACAATTGCCATATTCATATCTGTACAAGGGTGTACACTGCCACCAGTTCGTTGGAACAGACTTGAGATACCTGTGCAGCAAAGCCCACACCTGTATTCCCAAAGTGGTAAGTAAAGGAGTTTGATTTTATGTTGATGCTACTTTTAAGTTTTAGAGCCATTTAACGTAATTTGTTGCTCAGAGCAATTATTTGAGGTCTATAATCTAAGACTCCCATCACTAAAGCTTACAGATTAAATAGACAAGGAATAGACACATTTAGTCTTAGAGTTAGAATCTAACATAGTTAAATAGTATTTTAAATTTAATGTCAGCACATCATTAATCAAACTCTAGGAGAAACACTGTGGGCAAAGTCTGATATCATTTAACAAATGGACTGATACACCAATGGAAAGATCTTTCCGGCTGTAAGGACTGGATTGAGTTGAACAACCTACCATATCTGTACGAGACCATGAATTCAAATTTGCATGGGAGGAAAATAAAAATCTCCAAATAAGAAAAACAGGAAGACACATTTAGTCCTTCAAACTTGGTGCCTAACCAAAGAAGCTAATCAATTTGAAAAAGATCACAAAATATGTCACCATACAGCACTACTTGCCTCAGGATAAGCTTCTCTCCCAAACGGTGGTGGGAATTCCACATCTCCCCATTTACTCTTGCATATGTAATCTGCTGTGGCATCTATCTTTGCTGCCATATCAAGGACAAATATTCCAGAGGCAGTAACAACTGCAGAGAATTGAGAGGGTAAAGGTGTGCAATAAATAATCACATGAAAATACTAGAAATTGACAGAGGTTCCAACATAATGTATTTGTAAAAGTCTGTTCTACGCAGTTTGGTTTAGAAATCTTTGCACTATTTTTGCAGCAGTGCTCAACTTTGCTCCCCATTCTCCATTTAAGGAATCCTAGATTTTTGACTATTAGAAATATGGATATGCAAAGACTTAGAATTAAAACTTGCAAACTAAAAGGATCATGAAGTAAATAAGTCTAATTAACAAAAGGATAACAGAGTATAGAACGAGACCAGGACTTACAGTTCATGAAAACAGAATTCTAATTTTGGCTTCAAGATTTTACTCATACTTTGAGATGTTACATTGGACAATTTTGTCCACTTTCCTGGAGAAACCCTAAAATGTTGCTCAGGATGTGGCTTCTAGTTTTGCAAGTTCTCTGACGTTCATGCTAGTAATGTTTTAAAGCACAAACCAAGTCATATTCTAGTCCAATGCTGAAGATAACACCAGGATTTTAAGGCCTCAGTTTTGGAACTTTGCTAATCTGGAAAAATGAATTGCACTGGACTTGTTGTGAAAATAAAAATTTCATGGCAGGACTCGCAGTCAACATGCTAAAGGTGCTCCTTTACAAATACACATTTATTCCAGTCAACTTGGCTTAAAGTCACCCCGTGGAGGAGGATACTGGTCACCAAATTTCATTTTTACCTAATGGATTAATCTCGAGGTAGGTGAAGTACAGTTCTTCATACAGTTTGAAGAGTCCAACAATAAAAGAGGCCAAAGTGCTGAAAAGACCAGAAAACAAAGTTAAAATGGCAAAATGGATAACTTCACAAATCAATTGAGATGAAAGGCAGCAAAGATTTGAGGGGTTGACTGGCCTACTCTTGTTTCTAATAGTTTAGTTCAAACAGTTGCACTTGCACCAAGATGGACATAATCTAGTGACTGCACACATTCAGTATGAAGATTTACGATAGTTTTGTGGCAAACCCAAACTGCCACTTTCTCAACTACTTTTTTCTTTCTTTCTTTTGTTGAATATCGTACTCTGGGCCATAACTAATTTACCAAATGAAACTTCCCTGTTGGTCTGGAGTTTAAACTAAAATATCCTGCACTGTCTAGTCCGCCTTGAGATACTGCTCTGTAAAAAGGGATTAGTGTGTTCCTTGAACCACTGAACTGAGTCTAAGCAACAGCCAGTAAGTGAAAATAGAATGAGCACATTGGAAAGCTATTTTACTCTCTGGAATAACAGACAATCTGCCTGGCACTGCCTTCAGAGGTATTCACATACTCACTTTACCACAGAGCATTCAGGACAGGAAATAAAGATAGAATTTGCATTTATATAGCACGTGTCAAAACCTTGAGATGTCTCTAGGTGCTTTACAACCAATGTAGTGCTGAACTGGTCACTGTTATAGACTAGCAAATGTACCAACTAAACAGCACAACAAAATCTTTAAGGATGAATGGCCAACTATTGTTCTTATGTTGTTGAATTAACAGATAGGTCATTTGAGACCAAGATGAGAAATTTCTTCACTAAGTTATGAATGTTCAATTTCTTTATCCCAAAAAGCTGTGAAAACTCAATCACTGAGCAGGTTCAGGACAGGACTGTTACATTTCAGCAGGCTAATGACATTGAGATACGGAGATAGCACGGCAAAATGGCAACAAGGTAGCTCTGCCATGATCTAAATGAATGGTAGAACAGGTTCAACAAGCTGAAAAGCCTACTTTTTCCTACATGACTCAAATATTTAAGGGCATCAGAAGTAGACAGGAAAGTAGAGTTGAGGCCATAATCAGATAATTATGATTTTATCCAATGGAGGAACCAGTTCCTGTTTATAATTCACATACATATATGTACCCTTTCAATTCAGGAGATACACAACACTGTAATCAACTGCAATACTATATCACCAGAGATGGGGCCAGCACAATCCAGCTGTAAACTACCCATCCTGTGAGGCTTCAATTCACATTTAAGTAGAGGTATCCAATGGAGAATCTAGCAGCAGCAGGAGGCAAACAGCCATCAATGCAACAGAAAAAAAGCTTTGCTGCAAGTTACCTTTTCCTGCTTGCAGTCACATGCTGGAGCAAATGCATAATAACATCCTGCTCAGTCAGATTTCCGTCAACTTCCACCAGGAATCTCTGGGCTTTCGAGTCAACATCACCAACATCCACCCCACCCTCATGATGGAACAGCACAATGTCACCTTCCCGAGCAGCATAAATACAGACATAAAATTCTTCATCCTGAGCAGGAATCACAAAAATGTTAGACCTCACAAAAAAACAAAACAATTTTGTCTCAAATTCCTACTGGATATAAAGGTAAAAGGGATGCAATGATTAAGATACTTAAATGTTAAAATGAGCCAATAACTAGAAACTACTTTCTCTGGTGCGAGACATCAGGAACACAGAGACCCTATCTTAAAACGAATGGTCAATCATTCAGGGGTGATAGCAGATAAAACTTTGTATACAAACACTGGCAGAAAACTGGGACACACTCCCTCAAAGTTGTAGGTGCCACAGGGTCACTAGATGGTTAGGACCAAGACTTACAGATTTTTGTTAGGCAAGATTATAAATGGATATGAATATAACACAAGAAACTGGAGGAATAGATCAGTCCTGCTCTAATCGACAAACAGGACAAACTCAAGGAGCTGACTGACCCACTTCTCTTCCTAAAATCACTTACCCCATCAAGTTTGTGCCAGCACCTTTTATCCACAAGGGACGTGATTTAATCCTAATTGTCTATTGATACCCAACCCATTTAATACTCCCCTTTACAAGCAACTTTTTAAAAACTTAGCCAGCTGTTGCAAAAAGTATACACTGGAAGTAGCCAAGTAGCTGGTTTCTGTGCAACAAAACGTCTCCTGAACTGTTATTTGGGAGCCAATTGGCAATACACGTTTAAAAACTTGCTGAGTCACAGACCCATGGGATCTTCAGTCAGGTTCCTCTCCCAAAAAGTACTTAAGAAATACATAGTGATTCAGGAGGCCAACGGCAAAATTCTAGCATTTTTGAGCTTCCTAAACTTTTTCCCACACTAAGCCCATTTTGAGGATTTAAAATTGTTGAGAGCTTATTTGAGAACTGGAGGAGCATTGGCCATTGCTGTCTCAGAGCTCACCACTGCAAAGATAAGCTCATGGCCCCATTTGGTGCGATGACCCTCACCTTGGGAAGTCTTGGAATAAGAAAATGAGGTCGTACAACTCCACAAGCCAGTTCCACTACTGAATAGCATTATGGCTGAACCTGCACCACCCTGCTTTCACACAGTTAGCCCTACACCTTTTGATGACCTACCATCCTAAAAATTAAAATTAGCCCAACCATGACCACAATCAACCACCAAGCATTCAATTTCTAGATTCAGAACTCTCAAACAAAGAATTTTACCTCATGTCTGAAGAGTGATGACCAGAACCTGATGACTCCCCAATTTGTTATGCCTAGAGCCCATGCAAGAGTTCCTCAGTTTATGCTTCCGGATGGCACACCCCAAAATCATAAACTCAGAGTGGGGTGTGTGGGGGCGGGGGGGGGGGGGAGGGGAGAGGTGGTGTTAGGATAAAGTCATGGGAGAAGATGCCTCAAGCCCTAACATTGTTGAACTCGAGATGGAGTGCAGAAGGCTGGAGAGTTCACAAGAGGAGAATGAGATGCTGTTCTTTCAGCTCGTGCTGAGCTTTGCTGGAGCACTGCAGCAAGCCTGCAACAGAGATGCTAGCCAGGGAACATGGTGGTATGTGGTTAACAAAGTGTGAATTTGTTAATTACAAAATGCAAGAAATAAAATGCAACATGTGCACAAGATCAGAAATGACAGGCAAATCTAAAATAATAAGTTTAAAACAAAACAAAGTTAGTCAGTCTCTGAACTGATCCTGAACAGTAGATAATTGGAAGTTGCAGCTGTTGCAAAGGAGATTACCAGCAGCACTGATGATGTTAGTTGAACAGTTTCATGATAAATGCATACATTTGTAATTTAGCTGAGATTCTGTAGTTCTAATTCCTTTCGATCACAATTGAATTCCAGCCTTCGGGGTGACAGAGTCCTTTGTGTGCCTTGTTTTCTTTTTGTCTAGCTTACATCCAGCACTTGAGTGACAGGGGTCTTTGTTTATAGACCTTTGTTTGTAATCCCCCTTTGAAGGGCTGCAGTTTGAAATTCCCTTCGCATCCATAGGTGCAGCAATCTGTGGGTATCTCTCTCCAAACAGCCACTTAAATTAAGCTAAAAACATTTCAGGGTTCTGACGCATGGTCATCTCAAAGGCCAACTCCTTATCCAAAGACTATGCCCTGAGCTCTAGGCCCAGCCATCAGGAGAAACAAACAGTCTTGGCATCTGTTAAGCCCTCTGAGAATTTCTGTGTTTCCATGAGAACACTGCATTTACCTAAACTGCAGAAAATACAGACACACTCCACTTAAGCTCTCAAGACAGTCTTTTCATGCTTGGAATCAAATGAGTTAATCTTCATTGCAACCCTGTGCCTTTCCTTTCCCCATTCCCAGCCCCCCTCACACTTCAAGAAAAGTACATTCTCCCTTAGCAGAAGAAACCAAAATTGTACAGATTACTCCAAATGCAATCTGACCAGAGTTCTGTACAATTGTAGCTTCTTTACTCTTCCTTAATCCAAATGCCTCAAGATTAGTTTGTCTTCCTAATTGCTGACCACACTTGCATGTTAACTGCTTTTCAAACAAAGACAGCCAAATCCCTGTGAACACCAACATTTATTATTTTTTTCAAGCTTAAAAATATTCTGCCTTTCACTTTTCCTTTCAGCTTTGTATGCCATAGAATGAATTGAGAAATATTAGGAGGAGAATGTCCACTCAATTCCAGTCAGATATCGTCATGTCAATAATGCGCATCTGCAAATCTAATAGGAGCACTGATGCAATACCCTGATGCAGCGTTAACCGTCATTCATATTCAGAGCGACTGACAGCTACTTGCTCAGGATCCTAAGCTTGGCCCCATCGAGACTGTCAGAAATTTTTTTAATGAAAAGAAGAACTATTGAACTGTGAACAGAGTTGAGAATCAGGGTTCAGAATCAAAATTAAGAATATTTTATTTAACTCTATCCATGTGCAAATTAAGGAATGCACAACAGAAATGAATCTTGCAACATTCAGCAAGTAAACTCTATTTCTTAACTTTAAAAAGGCAAATTTCTTTAAAATCTGTAGTTTGACCAACCTGTTGATGAGGTACAAATGGTTCAATCAGAAAATTCTTCAATACACCTTTTGCCCGTCCAACCTGGTTAAATTAAAAATAATTCAGCGACGAAACACTAAAAAACCTACTGCATTCTGCCTAGAACAAACATATTTATAAAAATATTTATAAGCATGTAAACATTTACTGTTCAGAAATGCTTTATATGCATTATTAACAGTCATTTAAGAGGTCAACATTTGGGGTACAGAAAAATCCCACAAATAGTAATGAGATGCTGGATGCTATGGAAATATTATTGCACGTTCAACCAGGGAACTCTGTAGCCAAATTCCCTTCTACTACACTACTTGAACTACTAGAGGGTTCATCATTTAAAGTTGTAATTATAGCAGTGAAGTAGCACTTGCCGGAGTTGGGTGACAAAGCAGCTAAGAATCAGGTGACCCCAAATCTCAGCCAAGCAAAGTCAACCAAACTCAACACAGCAGGCTGTAAGAATCACTTACTGTATGCTTTAACAAACTAGTTCAGTAGTCAGAGCAGCAGCACTGGCTTACCATTCACAGCATTTAAGAAAAAAAATAGGAGCATCAGAAAAGAGATAGTCTCCACCCTCAGACTTGGCAGCATTTCGTTCAAAAGGAGAACACATTTTCTGGAAGGTCTGCTGCACATTTCCAACAGTTTTAATTTTTATTTCAGATTTTCACAAATTATTTTATTTGTAACTCATGATCATGTGGACTACAGACCCCATTAAAACTAATCTTAAAAGTCTTTATATACATATGTTTAATCTATAGATTTGCTGTACAATACAGCAGATACTGCTGCTTGCATTACAACAATTGCTCTCAACAACTACTCTTTGGTCCACCCTGGCTGTTGCTCTTTGTCTCAATGAGGAAACATTTTGTGATGTCTATCTTATATTTTTACTTCTGCAACACCAAATCTGTGGCCATATACCCTGTCATATTTAAAGTACTGTTGAGTGTAACTAGCTTCCTCAACCAGAATGGCACATTTCTCTAATGTAAATTCTATGTAATACTCCATTTAGCTATACCAGCTCTGTGCCATATGTGTGCATGTTGATGGAGAAATGGAGCAGCTGAGTCAATAACGCCTGATGTCATCGCATAATATTGTGGTTTCAATATGTTGATTTTATTGACTGTAACTAATTTGGGAGCCAGATACGGAACCTTTTCTCTATGTTTAGACTGGAGCAAAATAATTGAATATATTTGGAAGAAGCTGCCGTGGTTGACATTTTAGTAAATTACATTTCACATGTCAAATACATCAGACAAAATGGAAGCAGACAACTTCATTACGGCTGTAATGCTTGAAGCAGTGAATTTCTTTACATTCCCTAATGGATTGTTCCCTCGATCTGGCATTTAACAGACAGCTGTGATTGTATTGGCGAGGAAGGGCTGCTCCAGGGCAGCTCACCAAGTGGCAAGCTGTCTGCAAGAGAAGCTGAACTTTCATGCTGCTTTCAAATTCTAGCCTAGAAAAGTCTGCAGAGCAGTGACAGCTTCCAAAGCCATGCTTGAAATTTACCAACAGCTTCAGTCAGCCTTTTCAGTACCTTACCAAGTATGTGGGAGAATTAAGCTAAAAGCATGCTTTGCTTGTGTCGAGTCTGGAATGCCAGGTATAATCATTTTTTGTTTGAATTGCTGTACAGTGCACTACAAGACAGACAGAGTGTGCCCGTAATCTTGCATCTAGTAACTTGACTTGGAACTAAGAGAAAGAAAAAGAT